GAGTAGTGAGTAGTTATATGATGTAAAAAGGCTGTAGATTAATAAAGGACAGAGTTTTATGCAGTATGTACCTGTTTATTATCTATAAACTAAACTGAATCTGGGCTGTAAAAGAAAACTGTGATTCTTACTGTGGTTTTACAGGGTTTTTACCGTTCAGAAAACTTCATTTCAGCGTCATTTGTGCCATTATTTGACCATATAAGTGCTACTTGGAGGAGTTTCTGATTTACTTTCCTGCTTAAATGTGCCACATTACAGTGAAAATAAAGTGGCAAAAGTTTGTTTGCCACTTTATTTTAAATAATTATGAGCTATTTTATCTAACCTATGTCATTAATCAGCGTAATATCTAGAACTTGTTGGTCATCTCAGTGTAATTTAGTTAGACTGCCTTGGAACCTCATGTTGTTATAATTGTTTAGTACTTTAGAGTTTGTATAAATTCTATAACTTATCTGCTACTTGGAGGAGTTTCTGATTTGCTTTCCTACTTAAATGTGAGACACTACAATCAAATCAATGTATGTTGGTTTACCACCTTATTTCATATAAGTATGAGCTATTTTACCTAACCTATGTCATTAATCAGCTTAATATCTAGAACCTGTTGGTCATTTCAGTGTAATTTAGTCAGACTGTCTTGGAGACACATGTTGTTATAATTGTTTAGAGTTTGTATAACATATCGCTGTTGTCGGAAGAAAACCTCATATCTCCCAAATGGTAACTTTACAGGAGAAGGAAAAAACCTACTTGACTTACAATGTAAGTAAATGGAACCAGACTTTTTTCCAAGTCATTTTGGGTCGTTTCTTTTGGTCCATTCTTTATGAAATTTACACACATTGTAAAGGGTAACAGGTATTTTCAAATTATGTCAAAAACTGGAAAACGACAAAAATGGAGATACGATGTTTTCTTCCGACAGCAGCGAAATCTAACTTATCTGCTACTTGCAGGTGTTTCTGATTTGCTTTCCTGCTTAAATGTGTCACATTACAGTGAAATTTAGTGTATGTTTGTTTACCACTTTATTTCATATAAGTATGAGCCATTTTATCTAACCTATGTCATTAATCAGCTTAGTATCTAGAACGTGTTGGTCATCTCAGTTTAATGTAGTTAGACTGTCTTGGAACCTCATGTGGTTATAATTGTTTAGTACTTTGAAGTGTGTACCTCACACTTGCCTGGTTAATATCTAGAACTTACGGGACTTTTCAGTCCAGTGGCTTTATCTTCCTCCAAAAGACACATTGGTGTCGGAGTGCGCAGAGCAGGAATCTCGCTCACAGTGCAGCTGACCAAATTCTGTTAGCTGTGACCGTCTTAGCCTGTAATAAATATCAGATTGGCTTCCCAGTGGGCCGAGCGTCTGAGTCTGAAATGACTCTGAACGTTTCTCAGCGTGGCTCTCAGCAGGGTCTGATTACTGAGCGTCCATATGGCAGATTAACCTGCGTCTCTTTCGCTGTGACTCAAAGCGCCGTGACTCAATACGGCCGCCTACAGCCGAGCTGCCGAGGCTCTCTGAGGGCTTGTGGGATTTTTAAGGCCTGGTGATCCGAGCGCTGAGTCAGATGGTGGAGAGCAGAGCCTGAAGGACTGTGGAACTGTGATGGAGCACACAGCGCTGCCAGATACGAACTGAACAAGGAAAGAGCAGAGTTCATTCAGAGACGGCAGAGAGAAAGTGAGGACTCACTGCTTTTACATGTAAAAAGTGTGGGTTTTACCTCATCATGGATTCGTTATATTCAGCGATGGAGTATGATGTTGCCATGGTGATGCCCATGTTAACGGTGATGGTGTAATGCTCGTATTAAGTGTGTTTTGACATATGTTAATATTTCTCAATATATCTAATGGGGTGTTTAGTATCTTGTCAAGTGAAATGATCTTAAATCTAGTCGATCTAAATCTAGCTTATTTCTAGACATTTTTAAAACCTCCAGCAGCACTGCTGTGTCTGATCCACTCAGACCAGCACAACACACACTAACACACCATATCAGTGTTACTGCAGTGCTGAGAATGATCCACCACCCAAATAGTATCTGCTCTGTGAGGGTCCATGGGGGTCCTGACCACTGAAGAACAGGGTAAAAGGGGGCTAACAAAGTATCAGAGAAACAGATGGACTACAGTCTGTAACTGTAGAACTACAAAGTGCACCTATATAGTAAGTGGAGCTGATAAAATGGACAATGAGTGTAGAAACAAGGAGGTGGTCATAATGTTATGCCTGACCGGTGTATTTTATCACAATAAGAGTTACGCATTGTCATATTGGTGACCTCTAGGATGAGCTAAATAGCTTTAGTTTCAAATGGGAAGCACATACTCCTGAGGGAATTCCTGAACTTGTAGCCAACATCCCCCCTGTACATACAGTTCTGTATGAAAGTGTTGGGCATTTGAGAAAATTATATATTAACCTATTTCTCTGTGCTAAAAATACATATTTGACACAGTAGCATTAGAATAATTGCAGGTACACAAATAAACAGTCCATTCTGATTGTTCTGCTATGCCAAAAATCCAGTATTTACAGTTACCATCCAGTACCTAGTTTATCTAATCAGTCCGTCATTCTGTTAAATCCAGTGCAGGCGAAGAAGTCCATACGATGGCTGGAGTTCCTGTGTTCTTCTCACCTACATATTCATAACTTGATATGTTTCACTGTGTTTATGTTTATGTGTATTTATTCTATTGTTATGTAGTGTTTATACTGTCAAAATCACACTAACTGCTGAAATAAATGGCTTTAAACAGTTTTCTTGGCTGCTTACAGTGCTATATATGTGGATGTCTCTCTCTGGCGCCCCCTGCAGTTGCACCGCTCTGAGGCCTGTTCTGAAACGCTCCTCGTTTTTAGGAAGCAGCCACATATTTGGCTCTGAGTGCAGATATGGCCGAGTAAACAGGAAGCGCTTATTTTGATTAGAGACGAGCCCGTTCGCATCATTACAGCGTGTGCGTGTTTGTGAGTTTGTGTTTATGGTGTGTCCTCACATGACTGCGTGCTTCAGGCAGTGATGGACAGTGTTTGCCCCTATCTGTAGAAATATATGGATTTGTTTATTTGTAGCGTACGTGTGCGTGCGGCTATGCATGTGTGCGTGATTAAGTTCCCGTCTCTTGTCCTCTCGGCCCCCCGTTCTGCATATGTTTTCACTCCTCTCATACTGAGGAGACGATGCCGATTATGGTTGTCGGTCAAGTTGGGCGTGGCTTTAATGTGCACCGAAGTAGTTTTACAACCCCAGTTCCAAAAAAGTTGGGACAGTAGAGTATTTAAGATGTAAATGAAAACAGAAAGCAGTGATTTGCAAATCTTTTTTTTGACCTGGACATGTTTCAAAAACAGGTGGGACATGTTTACCACTGTGTTACATCACCTTTCCTTTAACAACGTTTAGGGATCATTTAGCAACTGAGGACACCAGGTGTTGTAGTTGTGAAAGCGGATTTTTTCCAGCCGTTATTTCTTGATATAGCACCTCATCTGCTCAACAGTCCGGGGTCTCCGGTGTCGTATGTTGCGCTTCATAATGTGCCACATGCTCAATGCTGAAACAGGCAGGACATTGGTGGAAAAGCCATCGTCCAGACCAGGGGTCAGCAACACGCAGCTCTTTTACTGCCCTGTTGTGGCTCCACAGCTGAATCAGATTCGTAGGTAATAATAAAATAATCCTCCTTTACAGTAAAATAAAGCTCTGCTGATCGTTCAACACAGTTTAACAGTAAATGGTCTTAAACTCTGGAGTTAATGTAGAACTGCTAATTCACCCTTTAACCCTGAAGATCAGCGCACAGACTGCTGGTCACCATAGCAACGCAGACAACAGTCTTGCCTAGCTAGTACCTAACGAAAAGGCAAAGAGAGAGATTTAAAGATGAACATTGATAATTTGGAGACAAATTGACTTACGTTTAGTCTGCAGCGAGAAACAAACACTAAAAAGTCGCGAAGCTGAAGTCGCTTCTCATTCGCCAGCTTCTTGTTCAAATTTTCACGTTCCACCTTAAATAGTGCAGCAGTTACATTCTGGCGCCTCAGGCACCACTTAAGGTGGAACGGAAAAATTCGAACGAGAAACTGGAGAATGAGAAACTGACCTCAGCCTCATGAAAAATCAAAAGTTGAGAGACATTTTACAAGAAAACTGTTCCACTTTTGAGGAAAAGTTTCCTGCCGGAGATGCGAGAAAAGCGGCTATAGCTGAGCTAAAGCTTAAAGCAGAGTAAAGTGAGTCTGTGTTTTCGTTTGTATATTTTTGGTCTATACTAGTACATCAGCACATACCGAGACATATTTACAGCCAAGATGGTAAAACACGAATTCAGTAAAATAGACATAAAATGTGGCTCACAAGGTGGTTTGATTTTTGTTGAAAGGACAAAATGGCTCTTCTTAACACTTGGATTGCGACCGCTGGGCTGGATGGTAGCATATATGCCCAGTGTGGGAGCAGCATGTATATAGGATGTAATTCAGACAGCCAATCAGCCGTCTAGATTTTGAAACAAGCATGCATATTGGCTCACAGAGGCTGTTAAGACTGGCTGTTCAGGTATTAAAAATACTAAATGAGTGTTTGGATGCTCTCTAATATTGAAATAATTTTAAGTGTGTGTATGTGCTTGTTTTGCTGTACTTGTGAGGACTATCACTGTGAGGACTATCACTACACGTCCTCACAGTGATAGTAAAACATGACAGTTGTGCACAAGTGAGGACGTTGTGCTGGTCTTCACTCGAGCATGCAGTGTTTTCACCACAAATTAAGCTTTTTTTTTTTGAATCACTAAAAGAGCAGAAAATGTGCCTTTGGGATCCTGAGGTTAGGGTTAGGTTTAAGTGTAGGTGTAGTATTATGTGGATACAGTAATACAAAAATCAGTAGAAATCAGTGGGAGTCTCCACAAGTAATGTGTGCGAGAGAGATTTGAAGTGTTGCTGATGTCTCTGTTGTGTTTCTCTGTAGGATATGAGAAGACATGTGATAATGACTCTGCTGGACACCGAACAGTCTTATGTGGACTCATTACGGACGCTGATCCAGGTACAGCACCAAAACACCAAACAAACGAGGGATTATAACTTTAATACATACTGTTCTCTCTCTCTCTCTCTCTCTCTCTCTCTCTCTTTCTCTTTCTCTCTTGCTCTCTCTCTTCTCTCTTTCTCTCCCTTTCTCTCTCTCTCTCGCTCTCTCTCTTCTCAATTCAATTCAATTCAGTGTTGCTTTATTGGCATGACCAATATTAACACTTGTATTGCCAAAGCTTTTGTTGGGAGATTAAGAACAAAGTACAACATATACAAAAAGCAATAACAGATAATAATAATAATAATAATAATAATAATAACAGATGACTCTCTCTCGCTCTCTCTTTCTCCCTTTCTCTCTCTCTCCCTTTCTCTTTCTCTCATCTTTTCTCTCTCTCTCTCATCTCTCTCTCTCTCATCTCTCTCTCTCGCTTTCTCTCTCTCCATTTCTCTCTCTCTCCCTTTCTCTTTCTCTCATCTTTTCTCTCTCTCTCTCTCTCTCTCTCTCCCTTTCTCTTTCTTTCTCGCTCTCTCTCTCTCTCATTCTCTCTCTCGCTCGCTCTCTCTCTCCCTTTCTCTCGCTCTCTCTCTCTCCCTTTCTCTTTCTCTCTCGCTCTCTCTCTCTCTCTCATTCTCTCTCTCGCTCGCTCTCTCTCTCCCTTTCTCTCTCTCTCTATCTATCTATCTATCGATGTCTATCTGTGTGTCTCTCTCTCACTCTTGGGCCCAATCCCATTTCACCCCTCGCCCCTGCCACTTAGCCCTACCCTTCTGTTTTGTGCGTTTATGTCTAGGAGTAGGGTGTCCTGATTATTGTTGACACTGAGTGTTATGAGAAAAATGAAAAACTGGCAAGATGGCTGCACAAGAGACCAAAGAAACTCACTAACCACTGTATCATTTTAGTTTAATGTCGTTTCAGTGTATTATGGTCTTTTTCTTCATAACAAGCTTAAAAATCGCTAGTAATAGCTGATGTCTCGGTAGCTAGCTAAATTTCCCCCTCCACCTTAAATGGTGCAGCAGTTACGTTCTCGTGCTTCAGGCATCAGAACTGCACCATCGTTTAAGGTGGAACAGGAACATTCGGACAAGAAGCTGGCGAATAGCTGACTTCAGCTTCATATCACCGTAGAGTTGCCCCCACATTCTCTAGGGGCCTGATATGATTCCATAAGTGTAACTAAAGCCCAGCAGTGAGGAGCTGAACTTTACCCTCCTCTGCTGTCACTGCAGACTGGCAGGGTCGCCTACAGAGCAGCGCTGGTAGCTGTTAATGAAGTGATGCTCTTTTTATTTGAGGGTCCCATTTCAAAGGGGAGATTTCAACCACTACCCCTTGTCAGTTCCAAGGGGCAAGGAGACACTCGGGGTAGGTGTAAAAATAAGAAATGGGATTGGGCCTTGCTCTCCTTTTACCTTGCTCTTTCTGCTTTCTTCCACACTTCTTCACACTTCCTCTTTTCTTACCTCTCTCACCCTACTTCTCTCTTGCTCTCACTGTCGTTGCCTCTCTCTCTCTCTCTCTCTCTCTCTCTCTCTCTCTCTCTCTCTCTCTGTTTGTAGTAATTTCTATAATTTGTCATTGGCTGGTTTTTCTAATTAACAGAAGGACCTTCTTAATAGTCTTAGTCACTGCATGTTACATAACAGAGTGCTACAATCAGCCTGGAACAGACGAGTCTGAGAGTGAGTGAGTGAGTGAGTGAGTGAGAGTGATTGCTCAGAGCAAATTACATCAGCCATTCGTCCTCTGGCAGAACATTACACTCCTTAAAGGCAGGAAACAAGAAGAACAGAGAGAGAGAGAAATAGAAACATAGTGGGAAAGAAAGTGTGTATGAAAGAGAGAAAAGGAGAGAGAAAGAGAGAGTAAAGGATAAAGAAAGGAAAGTGAGAAAAAAGAGGAATGGACAGTGATAAAGAGGGAAAAGAAAGATGGATGAATGCAGTGAGAAAGAGAAGTGTTTATTCCTGTAGGATTGAGGATGAATGCAGTTAACCTGTGTGTGCGTTTGCTACACTGACATCACAGATGGCTGCAATATGCAAATGAGACTCTAATTAATCACAGCGTTTTACTGTGTGCTGTGAGCATCACAGTCCCAGAAGAGTTTCTGTGGGTATTTTGATAAATTGAGGTATTTCTCAAGGTAATTTGATGATTTATGGTTTTCCAACGAAAGTGAATTATTTTGATCATAATGCAAAACATTGTTGCTATTTTGGTTCATCCAGTGTATTTTTATTATACTTAATGATATGCAGCAGTAGAATCACAATACTGCAGGCTGTGTGTGTGTGTGTGTGCGCGTGTGTGCGTGTGTGTGTGTGCGTGTGTGCGTGTGTGTGTGTGTGTGTGCGTGCGTGTGTGTGTGTGTGTGCGTGTGTGTGTGTGTGTGCGTGTGTGTGTGTGTGCGTGTGTGCATTGACTAGTAGATTGATAAATAGATGATAAGTAATGTAAACAGATCTAAATGCTTTGGTAACACTGTAATGTAATATTACCACAAAAATGAAGCTTCTTTTTGTTGAGTTGAAAGAGAGAGAGAAAGAAGGAAGGAAAGATAGAAGAATGAAGGAAGGTAATAAGAGAGGAAAAAAAGGAAAACCAGAATGAAGGAAAGAAATTGGAGTGATGGAAGGAAAGAAGAGAATGGAACGAAGAAGAAGAAGAAAAACAAGAAAGGAAAGAAAAAGCATAAAAGAACGGTTGAAGGAAGGAAGGAAGGGGGTACAGGGACAATAGAATGAGGAAAGGGAAGAGAGGAAGAAAGAAACAAGTAAAGAAATGAATAACAGAGTGATGGAAGAAGAGAAGGAGAAAGAAGAAGAAGGAAAGAACTAATGAATAAAGGAAAGAAGAAGAAGAAAAGAAAGAAGTAAGGAAAGATAATAGATTGATGACAGGAAAGAGAAGAAAGACGAAAGGAAAGAATGAATGAAGGAAGGAAAAGAGTACAGAAATAATAGAATGAAGGGAGAAAAAAAGGAAAAACTAGAAAAGAGAAATGAAATCCTGTCTGAGGAACTCTCTGTTCGCTGCCCATTACAGTGTTCATTGTGGAGTGTTTCCATGGTTACAGTGTGAGCAGGTTGCTGACCGCTGCTGGACGCTGCGGCAGTAAAATGGCCCCCATTAGAGAGCAATTCCACCAGCCGTTTGTTTATCTGTCCGTCCAAATCAGCTGTTCTCCAACACGGCTCTCCATAAACACTCAATGGAGGTCATGTGATTCCATCCACAGCCTGCAGCGAAAAACAGTTTATATATCACTGCTGTTGGGACAAAACCTCGTATCTCCAAAATGGGAACTTCACAGGAGAAGGAAAAACATACTTGACTTTTAATGTAAGTCAATGGAACCAGACTTTTTTCCAAGTCATTTTGGGTCATTTCTATTGGTCCGTTCATCATGAAATTTACAGACATTGTAAAGGGTAACAGGTAGTTTCAAATTATGTCAAAAACTGAAAAACGTCAAAAATGGAGATACAAGATTTTCTTCCGACAGCAGTGATATATTCACCGATCAGGCATAACATTATGACCACCTCCTTGTTTCTACACTCATTGTCCATTTTATCAGCTCCACTTACTATATAGGTGCACTTTGTAGTTCTACAGTTACAGACTGTAGTCCATCTGTTTCTCTGATACTTTGTTAGCCCCCTTTTACCCTGTTCTTCAGTGGTCAGGACCCCAATGGACCCTCACAGAGCAGATCAGGCTGTGTCTGATCCCCCTCATACCAGCACAACACACACTAACACACCACCACCACGTCAGTGCTACTGCAGTGCTGAGAATGATCCAAGTCAGAGACCAGCCTTCTTTTGTCTTTTATTTAATCTCCAAGGGAAAAAAATGGCCATTAAGTACAAGTTATTCATTTTTCAGTTGCAAAAAATCAGGAAACATATGTATAACAGAAAATTACACCCAAACCTCAACAACTAAATATAATCTATTTTTTTGTGTAATGTACATTTTTCAGTACTCTCAGACTCACTTTCAGATTCTTCAGACGTCCAAAGTTCAGTTGAGTGATTATGAGGTTCGGTTCAGTAGTTATGGGGTTCAGTTCAGTATTTTTGGGGTTCATTTTTGTAATTATGGGGTTCAGTTCAGTAGTTATGAGGTTCAGTTCAGTAGTTATGAGGTTCAGTTCAGTACCTAAGGTGTTTCATGAAGTACAAGGTTTGGTAAGTAATTATGGGGTTCAGATCAGTAGTTATAGTATTCAGTTGAGTGGTTATGAGGTCTGATTCAGTGGTTATAGTGTTCAGTTCAGTATTTGTGGGGTTCATTTCAGTAATTATGCGGTTCAGTTCAGTAGTTATGAGGTTTGATTCAGTTTTTAAGGCAGGTCAGTAGGTATAAGGTTTGGTAAGTATTTATGGGGTTCAGATCAGTAGTTGTGGAGTTTGGTTCAGTAGTAATGAGGTTTGGTAAGTGGTTATGGGGTTCGATTCAGTGGTTATGTGGTTCGGTTCAGTAGTTATAGGGTTCAGTTCAGTATTTATGGGGTAAAGTTCAGTAGTTATGGGGTTCAGTTCAGAGGTTATAGAGTGTGAAATGGTTCATTGCAGAGAAACTAATCAACTCAGATGTCTTTACAGTGGTGGTGATAGGAACCAGGGGTCACCATGACTACAACACAAATATAGCCATTTTATTTACTATCCAAAACCACCAGTGAACCCACACTAGCTAGTCTTCTGAGTTTATATGGATGTTGATGATGGTGAAATAGAAAAAAATCTGAAAAACTAAGTTTCTTTAGAGGCTATTTTGTCTCGTATTCATAAACATTTCATGTAGTAACTTTCTGTGAGGGAGCCTTTAGAGGTGGACGTCTGGTTCCTATCACCACTGTGAACAATTCTGACTCTGAGTTTCTCTAGAATGGAGCATTTCACACCAAACCACTCTGAACGACTCTGTTTACATCATAACGACTGACCAAAGTACCTACATGGTCAGAAGATAGGAGTGGTCATTAAAGCGAATAGTTGACGCTGATCTCTTCTGTTACAGGGCTACATGAAGCCTCTGAAGCAGCCGGAGAATTCTCCCCTGTGTGACCCGTCTCTGGTGGATGAGATGTTCTATCAGATCCCTGAAATCCTGGAACATCATGAACTCTTTCTGGAGCAGGTGCTCACCTGCGTCAACAACTGGCATGACCGCCAGACCGTCGGACAGCTGCTCGTCCAGTCTGTAAGTGTCACCTCTTTTTTTGGACTTTAGACCAACAGCTAACAAAAATGTGTCATTGCTTAATATAATATAATATAATATAATATAATATAATAATACACAATATACACTGACTGGCATCTTCATCAGAAATCCCTCTCTTGTAGCTCCATCTTTCTGGTGTACAGTTAAGAGACTGTAGCTTGTGTGTTAATGCACAGTGTAAATCATCATCATCTAGTCCTTCATTACTGGTCATTTTCTGACCATAGAGCCACTCTTGCTTTGGATATTTTTGGGTGGTGGTCCACTCTCAACCCAGCAGTGACACTAAGATCATTCAAGGCAATGGATTCCATTATTTTTAAATTATTCTTTGCCGTTCGGCCGCCGTTTGTGAATTTTATTGTCTTTTTAAAAACAGTGCCTTGAAGTTGTATCAGACATGTAGCAGAGAGGTTGGGTGTTGAATCTCCTCTTGATATTCGCCATGAACAGATTATTGACAAGGGGATTGCTTGTCTAATGTCCCTCATTGGAACTGTGAATAATAGCTCCACATGGCCGATCGGCTCAGGAGTGTAAAGACAATAAACAGTGTTTCTAATCACTTTTTCTCATTTCCATTTCCATTAAAATTTTTGGTCAAAGTTTTCAGCCAAAAAGGAGAAAAAAAGAGAAAATACGTTTTTTTCACATTTTCTTTCTTGAATAACATTGATGGAATATATTTTGATGGAAATATGGATGATTTACAAAACAATAAGCAAACTAAATCTTCATTTGCAAGTGAGTCAACCTGTATAAAATAGCTTTTTATTGTGTTTAAATGTTGTTTTGTACAGGAACTTTGATATGAAGAAAGCTGCACTTGTCCATTTTATTTCAACACGGCCGTCTTTGTGTAGAGGTGTGAATAGTTTTCACGTCAGGGGGGTCTCCCTCCTCCCCCCTCACCCCTCATTGCTCACTAGCAGCTCAACAGAGTCACAAAGTCACAACATTTCACACACAGAGAGAAAATAGAGTCCTGATTGATCTGTAAACAGAGTTATGGGGACAAAAATGTTTTATTTGTTAATGTTAATCAAGTCAGTATCCTTCCTTATGGCAGAATTGCCACTAGGGGGCGCTGCAGAAAGAGTGTAAAGGTGTGGACGGGGAGTTTAAATGCATGGTTTATTGTTTATTTAAGTGTGTTGTCTATTCTTCCTCCTGTTCTTGGATGAAATTATGAGTTTCCAGAGCCCAACGAAGCATTTCAGACTAGATGTTCATACCCAGAGCCTTATAAATGGCTTTCTTCCCGAAGCAGAAATAGCCACTGGTGAGGTCATCAATCTCAAGATAAAATTGGAAACATCTAAAATAAATTCTCTATTTTATGTCCTTTCCTCAAGAAGTGCCTCTCTCCATCACTGATGATGTCATCAGTCAGGGCGCACTCTGCCTGTTCCTCCACAGTGAGGGTCGTTAGACGCTAATTAGCTGCCATTAGTTTAATTGGCGTCTGCAGCCTGTGAGCTGAACTGGGGGGCGGGGGGGGGATTCAGCCAGGTTGGAGCCACTCAGCAACGTTCACTTCCTTTCTGAAGGTGTTGGTGAAGTGTTGATGTGTGTTCAGTTATTGCCCTCCTGGTGCGCAGTGTGTGTGTGTGTGTTTTGGGAGGGGGGTATTAGCCGGACAGGCGCCTCGGACACCTCTGAGTCTAATCTTTGGAGCCGCTGTTAGATGAGGTCAATCCGAAACAGTCAAAATGGTGCCATCTTACAGATAGAGGTACATGATAAGGACATCAAAATTGGATAAATCTGATAAAGCTGACGACATGAGAACCGAGAAATTAATGTTGAGGCCAAAACGTTTGCATACAACTGGACGCTTCTCATGTTACCATATTTTTTTTTGCAATCAATTAGGACAGGGGTGTCAAACTCAACTAGTAAAAGGACCATATTAAAATATCTCATCAAATCTGTGGGCCAGAGAAAAAAAAATGTTTTTATTTCATTTTTAATTAATTTTGTGCTGTAACCCGAACATTGTCTACTCAAAATATGCAAAAACCTCAGCAGTACAATACAGACACTTGTAGTAGACCTTGAAATACTAAGTGGACACTTGAAATATTCAAACTGTAAATGTTGCCAGGAGCTCAGTCTTTTAAACCTACCTATTTGCTTGAACCAGACTCCTGGCATCCTTTCTTTGCTGCAAGTTCATTAAGACTTGGGCTCAGTTTCTGAGCTGCTAAGCTGACGCCAAGTGTTTATATTGATTGAAATGCAGCTGAAATGCATTTAGGTGATATGACTGGTGTGGAACTGTGTAGAATTGAGGTGTAACTGCTGTCCCATACACTGCTGTTTGGGTAGGAGAGTCAGAGCACATTACGTGCAGTGCATGCTGGGGGCTGTAGTGCAGCACATTGTGAAACGGGCTAATATTAATAGAAAATTAAAATACTTTTGCGGGCCGGATGGGATCGTGGGCTTTGTGTTTGACACATTGGAATCAGGGCATCTTTGTTCACATCAGACATAATTTTAAACAGTCAATTGGAGACCATTTATTTTGGCTATAATTCACTATATCAGATTTGAAGTGGGTCAAAAGTTTGTACACACCAAGTTTACTGTCTGTTTAAACAATCTGGAAGGTTCTAGAAATTGATGTGATGACTTTTAGAAGATTCTGATTGGCCAATAAATCAATCAGTAAAACATGTAACATGACTGGGGTGCCCAAACTTTTGCACATGACTGTATATGGTTGGCGTTTCTGATTAAAATGGCCAATGTAGTGTTTCTGTTATTTTGTATGCCATCTCTAAATCTCTGAACAGTGATGGTTTACCCAACCGAATATGGACATATCAGCAGATGAATTGAATTGAATTGAATTGAATTGAATTGAGTTGAATTGAATACTGCAGTTGATGGTAACGTGTTTTATGTTGGTCGTCGGTCAAAAACACAGAAGTTCCTGCGTGATGTAAGAGGTTTACAGCAGAGCCACACATCTCTGCGCACAGATCCGCTCTCTGACCAGGCCTCTAAAGAGATTTATGTGGGCCTGTCCGCCCACAGACACGAACACAGAGCCCTGGTCACTCTGCGCTGTCAGCCTGCCGCTGGACGTTAACTGTCCACCTCTTCCTTTTCTGTCTATTGCTTTGGACTTAAAGTGATAGTTCAGCACGAGTCAAAGCTACAGTCTCCCCTCTTGCCTCAAATGTAGTCAGTCAGCCAAGACAAGTTCAGTGATTATAGTATGATTCTTTAATTTTGCAATAGTTAACAAATAATGGAAGCATGTATCCCACCGATTTTCATAACCAATGCCTAAAGACTGATTTATACTCTGTAAAAATGTATGTAAACATATGAAGAGACAGAAACTGTAAACAATTTTTATTTCGTAATCCCAATTTGAAATCGCGATCACAAAAGCTGTGATTTTAAATACATTTTAAAACACCATTAAATAATGTAACTTTAGCCTAATGAAACTGAGCTTGTAAACTGGCAGTCTGGCACACTCTGTACAGTGTTCAAGCCAGGGACGTCGCCTAGGCTTCAACAGCTACAGCCCCATATATTTTTTGACCAGCTCCAAACGTTAACACAGGCATGTTCAACCACCCCTTAGCAGATAGAGAGAGTGGGAGAGAACGACATGATACAGAAAGAAAGAACAAAGAGCACGACGCAATAGAGAGGTAAAGAAAGAGAGCGTGTTTATGTTCACTGTTAGTAATAAAGGTTCTGTTCAGGTACATTTTTGGTTCATCAAGGTACAAACAGTGTAAATGTTCCCTCAAAGGTACAACAGTGGTTTTAAGGTCTGATTGTGAACCTTAAATAAGTTTTTTCCAGGTGAAAAGTTCGTATTTGTACCTTTTCATAACTGAATGTTTTAAAACAGAACAGTAAAATAAAAGCCTGGAGGCGAGACGGGGTGTGTGGAGTCAGTACAGCTTAGAACATATCATTTCAGTGGATTATGGTTCAGTTATGTTCCCTGACTAAAGGTACTGAGATGGACCCTTGAGGGTCCCACCCCAGTGACAGGAGGGGAACTGACCCAGTGACAAGAGGGGAACTGCCCCAGTGACAGTTTAGTACCTTTTTTTCTGAGAGTGTACTTGATATTTTGTAGGGGTCACCAGACTCGGGTCAGGTACCCGACCTCTTACAGTGTTCATCAGGACATAAAATGGCCAAGACGGAATACTATGTTTTAGCATGATAGCTATTTTATGACTTTGTTTATAAGACACACCAGTCAGTATAGCTGAATGGATGCTGTTGACCACATCAAATAAATGTTGTTGTTGACCACATCAAATAAAAAAGTAGCAACTGCTCATTTTACAGTAATTAAAAGAAAGTCTGAGGTGAATATCCCAAAACAGTTGTACAGTAAACTGGACTGAGCCCTGGATCTTTATGTGCCCAGCCAACGCCCCTGGTTCAAGCCTCAAGTCTGACAAATGGATGTGCTTGTCTTCTTGGCGAAAAAAAGCCTGGAGCTTAGTTTATAGAAAATAATGGCAATCACAATATTGGTCAGAAAAAGTCGCAGTTACATACTTTCCCCAAATCGTTCAGTCCTAAAGTGTAAGTGTAGCTCGCAGATACACACGCTTCCAAACACCCAGCTACACACCATGCAAATCTACAGAGCTGTGCGTCCAAAAAATCACTGCTGTTGGGACAAAACCTCATATCTCCATTTTTGCTGTTTTTTTTTACAGTTTTGGACATAGTTTGAAAAAGCCTGTCGCCCTTTATATTGTATGTAAATTTCATGATGAATGGACCGAAAGAAACAGCCATTATATATTATATATAGTTGTAGAGGTTTGGGTGTAATTTTCTGTTATACGTATGTTTCCTGATTTTTCCTGCAACTGAAAAATGAATAACTTGTACTTAATGGACATTTTTTCCTCTTGGAAATCAATTAAAAGATATTATATATATATATATATATATAGATAGATAGATAGATAGATAGATAGATAGATATAGATATATATTATTGCTCTTGTCGGAAGAAAACCTCGCATCTCCATTTTTAACGTTTTTCAGTTTTTGAATTTGAAAAAGCCTGTTGTCCTTTACATTATATGTAAATTTCATGATGATTGGACCAAAAGAAACGGCCAAAAATGACTTGAAAAAAACTCTGGTTCCATTGACTTACATTGAAAGTAAAGAAGGTTTTTCCCTTCTCCTGTAAAGTTCTCATTTTGGAGATATGAGGTTTTGTTCCAACAACAGCGAAATGCTGATTGGCTCAGGGGCAGCACTGGGGGCGGGGCAAGACCCAAACACTGAACCAGAACGAGCACAAATAATATAAAAATGATAAAATATATATAAATATATATTATATATTATTTTCTATATATAAAATAATTTGAGCTGGTGACTAACCTGACGCTGACCTGAAGCTGAGGGAGCCTGTCTGCCTGAAAGCCTGAGTGATGTGTTTTGAACTAATGATGATGTTTTTCTCTCTCAGTTCTCCAAAGAGGTCCTGGCCAGTATTTACTCCGCCTACATCGACAACTTCCTGAACGCCAAAGACGCAGTGAGGATCGCCAAGGAGGCCAAACCCGCTTTCATGAAGTTTCTAGAGGTGGGCTCTGGTGTAGGGTGTGTTTCTCTGTGAGTGTGAGTGAGGGTGTGTGTATAATGTAAGACTGCAAAAGTTTGCACTGGTCAGTTTATGTTTTGTTGATTTTCCACGTGTAAATAAGTTACACATCCTCTGCAGAGACGCACTACTGCACATTTTAAAGCACAATTACTGTTTACTTGCTGAATTTTACATATTGGGGGGGGAAAAAAACATAAAATGTGGCCTGAGCAGATGTTGTGGCACATTTTATATTTGTTTTATTTCCAGTATATCAAACTCAGCAGATAAACACAAACTGCACACTAACATTTGCAGAAAAATGCCATGTTTAAGTTCGTTCCCTGTAGAGCAGAGGTGTCAAACTCAACCACTAAAGGGCCATATTTAAAAATCTCAACAAATCCATGGATCAGAGAACAACTATTTTTAATTCATTTACATTTAAATCATAACATTTTGCTATAAACTGAACGGACCGTTGTTTATTCAAAATACGCAAAAACGTCAGCAGCAAAGTACAGACACTTGTAGTAGACCTTAAAATATCACATGAATACTTGAAATATTCAAAATGTAAATGTTTCCAGGAGCTCAGTCTTTTAAACATACCTATTTGCTTGAACCAGACACCTGGCTTCTCTTCTTTGCTGCAAGTGCATTAAAACTTATATATATACACACGTATACATATGTATACATACATATGTATGTGTGTGTGTGTGTGTGTATATATATATATATATGAGAGAGAGAACTTCCAAACTTCCTTTGGCTTTGAGTGTCCCTGTAGCTTCATTATGTAAATTTACTAAAATTAATGATTGAACATTCCTACTACCAAAACAGTCATTACACGACCGAAACTGACTGTTTCAGTGCTGACTGTTTCAGTGCTGACTGTTTCAGCAGAGACAATTTTAGCTCTTTTTTTGAGCAGAACTCAAAAACACAGCCAGTACATGACCAGCAAACACAGCTTTGAACAGCTGTACACAAATAATCTTAATATGAATTCGGAATTTTTATTAAAGCTCAAAATAGCTTAGTTAACTGTAGAAAGCATGTTTCGGCAGTGACAGTTCTTAATGTTCAGCACCGATTTTCAGACTTTAAAAAAGTTACTTTAAAACAGTGGGATCTGACTCCTCACCATGTGGCCATGAGAGTAAGGGATGCTCCGCCTGTGGACTAAAACTCTGCGTTTCAGTAGTGACATGAAAGTGCGGGACAGCTTTTAATTTTTTTTTTAAAGAATGAAACTCATGATGGATCTGAAATCTTTAAAATGAAAAGAAATTAAAAAGATCTTAAATATTTGGTGACACTTTATTTTGAGTGTTTCATTTAAATGAAACAGACACTCAACAGACTCTCAGTAACATGTCAAAAACATGAGGTTTAGGATTAGGTTTTGGGTTGAGGTTAAGGATTAAGGTTAGGATTAGGGCCAAGGTGAGGGTTAGGATTAGGTTTTGGGTTGAGGTTAAGTTTAGGGTTAGGATTAGGGCCAGTTTTAGGATTAGGTTTTGGGTTGAGGTTAAATTTAGGGTTAGGATTAGGGCCAGTTTTAGGACTAGGTTTTGGGTTGAGGTTAAGGATTAAGGTTAGGATTAGGGCCAGGGTGAGGGTTAGATTAGGTTTTGGGTTGAGGTTAAGTTTAGGGTTAGGATTAGGGCCAGTTTTAGGATTAGGTTTTGAGTTGAGGTTAAGGATTAAGGTTAGGATTAGGGCCAGGGTGAGGGTTAGGATTAGGTTTTTGGTTGAGGTTAAGGATTAAGGTTAGGATTAGGGCCAGGGTGAGGGTTAGGATTAGGTTTTGGGTTGAGGTAAGTTTAGGGTTAGGATTGGGCCAGTTTTAGGATTAGGTTTTGGGTTGAGGTTAAGGATTAATGTTAGGATTAGGGCCAGGGTTAGGGTTAGGATTAGGTTTTGGGTTAAGTTTGAGGTTTAGCGATAGGATTAGGGCCAAGGTGAGGGTTAGGTGTTGAGTAAGGTTGGTAAGGTCAGGTTTTGTGTAATGGAAGTAACATATTAATGAAGCATCTACTTAATGTAAAGTAATGTATCAACAGAACATCTACAAGATATTTATTTCAGTGTATTCAGATGCTTCACTACTGCTACTTCACTGATATGCTGTTGATGTGTTACTGATAATCTGTTAAGAGTTTATTAATCATCTACAAAGGACCACTCCAAATACAGTGTTACCAAATATGTTTAAAAAATGTAAGTATTACTTTCACAAGTGTAAATGTAAGTGTTAGGGTTTGGGACAGACACCTCCTAATAGAAAGAACCCTATACATTATGGTTTTGTATACATTTAGCTTATTCCTATCTCTATTAATGTCTTTAGTTTAAGTAGATCATAACACACACACACATCATCTAAACCGCTTATCCTTCTGGGTCGTGGTGGGGTGCTGGAGCCTGTCCCAGCTGTCATTTGGCGGAAGGCAGGATATAGATCATAACATAATCCTGTAAATATCTAAGCTCTAAATACTACAGTTTGAACTAATTCTGTAGAATGGCACGTTCTGAAGTTGTGTAGCTTGCTGTACAGTATTGTGTGTGTGTGTGTGTGTGTGTGTGTGTGTGTGTGTGTGTGTGTGTGTGTCATCCTGTCGTTTTCCGCTCTCTTCTCCTCTGGGATTCTCTGGGAACAGCCTGTGGTTTGTGTTTCTGGAGCGTTCAGCTGAGATAGTTAATTACACGGCCGTTCAGCCTCGACTTCGCGACGTCTTCACTCTGCAGACTGTACAGTTCTGCAAAAGCAAATCCTGAAATGCAAACCACAGAAAACTGTTCATTTCACCTGCCTTACACTGAAAAACTGCTCAGGATTTACTGACCTGGTCAGTTTAGAAGCCAAATGAATGTGTTTGTAAATGATTTTCCTCCTTTACCCCCCCCCCTGCCTTCACATGTCCTCCTCTTTGTCTGTATGTAGGTGTACATTAGGTCATTAGGTCTGAGTGCCATTGTGAAGCTCTGGACCGTGCTGTTACTCTGTTTGATATTTCGGCCTGAACTCTGACCCCACAGCAAAAGTCTGTCATAATAAGGAGGGTTCATTTCTGCTGTGAAGATCAGGAGATAAAACACGGGTTTTACTGCCATCTAGTGGCGGCCGACTCAAAATACCAAATGACCTGAAAGCTGTACCAGCTAGACCGTCAGTGAAGCCCCCATGATTTCTAGGAGCTTTTTATTCAGTGGAACCTTCATGCTTGTTGTATTTAAGCTCTGCACATATTGTAGTATGTTCTCATTTTGTTGAGTTTTGGTTGGAAACAAAGGGGTTAAAAGCTTGAAAGGTCCAATGAAAAATTGTCCAATCAGGATATATTCTGGGCAGGTTGAGCCAAGCGAGCTCTCCCATTGGTTAGGACTTCAGGAGCTGAACTGAAGACCTTGTTAGATTAACTACCAACACAACTAGATACTGACGGTGGAATCACGCTTTAATTCCCAATGGTTTGGAATAATGTGTGAGAGAACTCTCAAGAGCACCCTTAAAAAAGATGGTTCTTCAAGGGTTCTTTAGTAAAGAAAATGGTTCTATGAAGAACCATGAACACTCACAGAACTCTTTGCATAGTTAAAGAGTTCTTCGCATCATGAAAGGCTTCTTCAGATCGGAGAATGTGCTGTAGATGGTTCTATTTAGAACCACTTTCTGCTACTGTTACGATGTCAGTCGTGTAATAATAGAAGAGAACTTTTGGGTGCTATGTAGAACCCTTTTCAAAAGGTTCTGTATACAAGCATATTCAACACATTCTCCATCAATATGAAGAACCATTTCATGATGCAAAGTGTTTGCATGCAGTGTTTGAGTGTTCATGGTTATATGTAGAACTATTTTCTTTACTAAGGAACCCTTGAAGAACCATCTTTTTAAGTGTGTAGGCCTTCTACAAGTTCTAGATACATCACTAACTTAATATGAGTCATAGTCAAACCAGGTTCCAGGTAGTTGTTAGGAATGGAAAACCCAGGTCTCTTTACTGATGGACTCGCTGTGAAACAACTACATATCGTCGCTGTCTGAAGATGATGATTTTATGATGAGTGGACCAAAAGAAACGGCCCAAAACTACTTGGGAAAAAGTTCCATTGACTTACATTAAAAATAAAAGTAACAGTATGTTTTTTCCTTCTCCTGTAAAGTTACCATTTTGGAGATACGAGGTTTTGTTCCAGCAGCGAGATGTAAAATACAAATAGAACACAATATATCGTCACTGTCCAAAGGAAACCATGTATCTCCATTTTTGTTGATGTTTCATTTTCTTGTCATTTCAACTCACCAACTGTCCTTTACATTGTGTCAAAAATCTATGATGCATGGACCAATAGAAATGCTCTAAAATCACTTGGAATAACATCTCTTTACATTGACTTCCATTGAAAGGTAAGAGTGTTTTTGCCCTCTCCTGTAAAGTTACTGTTTTGGAGATACTTGTTTTTCTTTGGACAGCGACGATATATGTTAATATATTTTACAAGCTTCAAAAATATATGTAATTTCTTTGTAAAAGCTTTAAATGTCCCTGTTTAATCTAGAATGGCCAAAAAATTGAATATACGCTTCATGTTTAGCTTTGAAATACCATATTGGTGCAAGCACAAATGAACTTTTTCATAGAGGTGATTTTTTTCTCTTTTCCTGACTGTGTTGTGCCATTTTTGGCCTGAACTGAAGGTCTAGCTCTAAAGGTCAAGGTTCACCACCGTAAATACATCTAGAGTTCTCTCTATTCATCTGTATTGATCTCGGATAATCGTCTCTCTCTTACAGCAAAGTATGCGTGAGAATAAGGAGAAGCAGGCTTTGGGGGATTTGATGATCAAACCTGTCCAGCGCATCCCACGATACGAGCTGCTGGTCAAAGTGAGTTGCAGAAGTTTTCCAGTTCCCTCCACCGTTTCTATTTGCCAATTCATAAATGATATTATATTTCTTGTTTCCTTAATCTTCCATCTTCAGTCTTCTGTTTTTGTTGTTGTACAGTTGGGGACTGTAGCCTATTCGTTGATTCAGAGTTTTATCTTCAGTCAGGTCAGCTTCTGACCACAGAACCACTCTTGGCTGGATATTTAGGGTTGTGGACCACTCTCACCATAGCACTGACCACCCACACTACAATATCAGTGCCACTGCTGTGCTGAGAGTGATCCACAACCTGAATAAATCTGGTTAGCAGCAATCCTGTGGTCAGAAACTGACCAGTGATGAATGAGGTGGGGGTTTGTCTGTAACTATATAGTGGACGTATAAGGATGATGGAGCTCATAAACTGTTCAGTGAGTGGAAGTACAAGGTAGGTGTTTCTAATAAGGTGGCCAGGGAGTGGAATCACAAAGTAGGTGTTTCTGATAAAGTGGCCAGGTAGTGGAAGTATAAGGTAGACGTTTCTAATAAAGTGGCCAGAGGTAGGCGTTTCTAATAAAGCGGCCAGTGAGTGGTAGTACAAGGTAGATGTTTCTAATAAAGTGGCCAGAAGTAGATGTTTCTAATAAAGTGGCCAGTAGTGGAAGCACAAGTTAGGCGTTTCTAATAAAGTGGCCAGTGAGTGGAAGCACAAGGTAGGTGTTTCTAATAAAGTGGCCAGTAGTGGAAGCACAAGTTAGGCGTTTCTAATAAAGCGGCCAGAGGTAGGTGTTTCTAATAAAGTGGCCAGTGAGTGGAAGTATAAGGTAGATGTTTCTGATAAAGTGGCCAGAGGTAGGTGTTTCTAATAAAGTGGCCAGTGAGTGGAATCACTGGGTAGGTGTTTCTTATAAAATGGCCAGTGAGCTAGCCTTGTGTGTATGTGTGACAGGACCTGCTGAAACACACTCCAGAAGACCACCCGGACCACCCGTTCCTGCTGGATGCTCAGAAGAACATAAAGCAGCTGGCTGAGAAGATCAATAAGGGCCGGCGGAATGCGGAGGAGGTGGAGCGGGAGACGCGGGTCATGCAGGAGATTGAGGCACATATAGAGGGAGTGGAGCACGTAAGACTCAGCATTTAACATGATTACTTCACTCGTATTCACGCCATCACGCGGGATGGGTGGGTAGAGGAGGAGGGGGAGTGTCGAGTTATCAGATATCAGTCTGTCTTGCTGCATCACCTGAAATAACGATGTGGTTCCTCTCAGATCCTGAATCCTCAGAGGAAGTTCCTCAGGCAGGAGATGGTGATGGAGGCGGTAAGAGAGGAGAAATAAACGTTTATACAAGTGTTTGAAAACAGACCAACATGGGATGTGATGTTTCTATTAAACACTCACTCGTTCTCTCCTTTCTTCTCTCCTTTTCTGCTCCTCTTCCATTACTCGCACTCTCTCTCTTTCTTCCATACTCTCCCTCTTTCTTCCATACTCTCTCTCTTTCTTCCATACTCTCTCTCTTTCTTCCATACTCTCCCTCTTTCTTCCATACTCTTTTTCTTTCCTTAAAATCTTTTGGCTTTCTCTCTCTTTTTCTTCTCTTCTTCCATTTCTCTCCCTCGCCCTTCCAAATCTGACATCCTTTCATCACTGTCTGTCTCTCTCTCATTTTTCACACTCTTTTTTTCTCCCTCCCTCTATCTCTCTCTATCTTTCTCTCTCATCTCGTGCTCTTTCTCTCCCTCTCGTCTGTGTCTCTCTTGCTCTCTCTCCCTCTCTTCCCTTTCTCTCTCTATCCCTTCCTCAATCTCTCTCTCATTTCTCTCTCATCTCTTGCTCTTTCTCTCCCTCTCATCTGTGTCTGTCTCGCTCTCTCTTCCCTTTCTCTCTCTCTCCCTCCCCGTCTCTCTCTCTTTTTGTCTCATCTCTCTCTCGTCTTCCTCCCTCAATCTCTCTCTCCCATTTCTCTCTCTTGTCTCTTGCACTCCTTTCCCCCTCTTGTCTGTCTCTCTCTAACTCTCTCTCTCCTTTCTATCTCTCCCTCTCTCAATCTCTGTCTCTCTCTCCTCTCTCCCCTTCTTGTCTGTCTCTCACTCTCTTTCCTTTCTCTCTCTCTCGTAACCCTCCCTCAATCTCTCTCCTCTCCCATTTCTCTCTCTCACCTCTCTCTTGTTCTCGTTCTCTCCCTTTCTTGTCTGTCTCTCTCTCGCTCTCTTCCCTTGTCTCCCTCCCTCCATCTCTCTCTTTCTATCTCTCGTCCCTCTCTCGTGTCTTGCTCTTTCTCCCCCCCTCTTGTCTGTCTCTCTCTCTCTCTCTTCCCTTTCGCTCTCTCTCTCTCATCTTTCTCTTGTTCTCTTGTCTCATGCTCTTTCTCTTTCCCCTCTCTTTTGCTCTATCTCCTCTTTCTCTAACTCCACTCTCTCTCATATCTCTCTCGTCTCTTGCTCTTTCTCTCTCTCTCTCTCTCTCTCTCTCTCTCTCTCTCTCTCTCCCCCCCTCTCCCCCTGTAGAAGTCAGTAGGAGGGAAGAAGGATCGTTCTTTGTTTTTGTTTACTGATCTGTTGATCTGTACGACTCTGAAGAGGAAGTCCGGTTCGTTACGGAGGAGCTCCATGAGTCTGTGAGTCTCTCACGTTCTCAGACGTTCTCTTTTCATCAGAAAGGTTACCTTTACGGCTGTGCAGATCAGTGTGTTAGTGCTGTGCTGCACCCTAGTGGACAGATTGCAAAACAGCACCTTTGGAAGATTTTCTGGTGAAACTTCTCTGCCTGTGATCAGATTTACCTGCAGTTTCAACACAGCTGATGCATTTTCTTCTTTATTGTTCACAAAGTCATGCCACTGCTTGTCCTTGTCCTGCTTTGTGCTCTAATGGTTTCGAGTTGTCTGCCAGTTTGTCCAACACTGTATGTAAAACAGTCCGAGTACCTCAGTCTGATTTGTCTGTGTTAAACTGTTTCAGATACACCGCTGCTAGTGTCATTGACACCTCAAGTAAATACAAGTTTCTATGGAAACTGCCTTTGGAGGATATAGAATTAGTGAAAGGTAAGTCGGCCGATTCAGATGAGGTGAGCTGGAGGATTATGGGAGTTGAAGTTTATACTTTACTCTGAATGGTTTCCTCTCTGCAGGCTCTAATCAGGCCACTAACAGGGACACGATCCAGAAAACGATCAGCCGACTAGATGAGGACCTCAGTACACTCGGCCAAATCAGCAAACTGTCAGAAACGCTCAGCTTTCCTCACCAGGTCAGTTAGAAACACCCAAACGCAGCGAACTGGAGCTCACAGAGCTGTGCTGCACATTAACATTCAGGAGTTAATCAGTAGAAAAGATTCAGTAAAGCTGCACTACGTAAGATTTTTTACCCTCTGATTGATAGATAGATAGATACAGGAAGGAATGAAGGAAGGAAGGAAGGAAAGAATGAAGAAAGGAATGAAGGAACAAATAAATGAATGAAGGAATAAAGGAATGAATGAAGGAATGAATAAAGGAAGGAAGGAATGAAGGAAAGAATGAATGAATGAAGGACTGAGGAAAGGAATGAATAAAAAAGGAATGTAGACATGAACGAATGAAGCATGGAAGGAATAAAGGAAGAAATGAATGAATGAAGGAAGGAAGGAATAAATGAAGGAAGGAAGGAAGAAATGAATGAGGGAAAGAATGAAGGAAGGAAGGAATGAATGAGAGAAAGAATAAAGGAAGGAAGGAAAGAATGAAGGAATGAATAAAGGAAGGAATAAATGAAGGAAGGAATGAATAAGGGAAAGAATGAAGGAAGGAATGAATGAGGGAAAGAATAAAGGAAGGAAGGAAAGAATGAAGAAAGGAATGAATAAAGGAAGGAGTAAATGAAGGATTGAATGAATGAAGGAGTGAATGAATGAAGGAAGGAGGGAAGGAATGAATGAATGAATGAATGAATGAATGAATGAATGAATGAATGAAAGGAATGAATAAAAGAATAAATGAAGGAAGTAATGAAGGAGTGACTGAATGAAGGAAGGAAGAAATGAATGAATGAATGAGGGAAAGAATGAAGGAAGGAAGGAATGAATGAATGAATGAAGAAAGGAAGAAATAAATAAATAGATCCTGAATTGCAGTGTTACAGTATCAGGACACATACTTGCACATAAACTTATATAAATCAGGCAGAAATAATGAATTAGACAGAAGGGTAAAGTATCAGAGAGTGGAAATAGAAGTTAATATATTTGCATATTTAAATAACATATAAGACAGATTTGTTGTATTTACACGAGTGCAGGTGTCGCACTAAGTAGTATGAGGTAGTTACAACACAATGAGTATATCTTTGTAATTAATATTCTTTGTTTACGATACAAAACCTTTGTTGTGGTTATTGTTGTAAAAGTTTGTCTATATCTGCCCAATAAACGTGTTAATATGTCTCATTCTTTCCCTCCCTCAGAGTCTGGATGATGTGATAAAGGACCTGATGGCGTCGGTGCACAGGGAGTTGGCTGAGAAACAGTCTCTGGCCTTCAGCATGACCTTCCTGCCCACCAAGCTGGAGCTGACCACAGCGTCCGCTGAGAGCACCTTCATCTTCGAGTTCAGCAGTCCGGACGCTCGCAGCAACTTCGAACAGGCCTTTGAGGAGGCCAAGAAGAAGCTGGGTAATAATAGTTATTGTTATTATTATTATTATTATTATTATTATTATTATTATTATTATCATTATTATTATTAGTGATTAACTGTTAACAAGACCAACTAATAGCCCAACTGATTTTTTAGTCTAAGAAACTGAACTGAAAAAAGATGTTTGAACTAAAGTTCTGAAGTTTGAAATCAGTGTGTTAATTAATATAAAACCAATTTGGGTGCAGAAAAATGTATAAAATGATTCTAAGATGTTTGTCTTAAGAAAATAAAGGTTTTAACTAATTAGTAGTTTAAAAGCTGTTAAAAAAAAACAAAACAATTTGGACACTTTCATATTTTGTTGATTTTCTAAAAATAAGAATAAGAGAACAGACTTAAAAATGGCATCTTTCTGCAATTTTAATGCACAATTTTGCTTTATTTGCTGAATTTAACATAATGGAAATCAAACGAACAAACATAAAATACAAAATGTGCTGTAACCTTTCCACACTTTTGTTTTTGTTTTGTCCTGTATGGACAGTAAACAGTAAATAGTGTATTAAAATATGCAGAAGTGTGTTCTCTCTAGAGGATGTATAACTTATTTTCTCTTAGAACACCAACAAAACATGTCATATGACCGGGGCACCGAAACCTTTGCGAATGACTATATTTTTAAAAATCTGATCAAAAAATCTGACCAAAAGACCAAGAATAAAGTCATAACATATTAATGTCCAGAATGCCTAAAGGCTAATATTTCAGAAGTAATGATCAAATCTTGAGGCAGAATATCTGCATTTCATAAATTTGTGTTGTTCTCAAAATACTCAAAATATTGAATAAATGTTATTGAATATAAAACCAATAAAGATATTCCAAACTTCCAAACTTTTGAACGGCAGTGAATGTTTGTGTACACAATATACATGCGTATTTCGAGCTTAATAAGAAACACGTTTTTAATAGGAGACAGTTCTGGACCGTAGGCAGGTCAGTTTTACGCCTGCACTCTCTGATTACATAGCGATGCTTTTGTAACGCTTGTCAAATGTTTCTTGGTGATGTCATGATGAACTAAGCATGGACGTCCCTGAAAAAGACGGCATCTAAAAAAGCAGAATAAGTTGCTTTAAAAAGTGTTCAGCATTCATGGTGCCTTTAGATGATCAAGTTATCCACTAATACCCCCCCAACACCATGACAGACGCTGGCTTTTGAACGTTACGCTGGTAACATTCTGGATGGTCCTTTTCTTCTTTGTCTCGGAGAATACAACATCCACTATTCCCGTAAACAATCTGAAAGCTGGACTCGTCAGACCACAATACACGTCTCAATGGTGCATCAGTCTATTGCAGATGAGCTTGAGCCCAGAGAAGTCGGCGGTGTTTCTGGACGCTGTTAACATGCATGGTACAGTCTTAACCTGCGTTTGTAGATGCAGCGACAGACGGTGTTTATTGACAGTGGTTTGTCAGAGTACTCCCGAGCCCATACGGTGATATCCATCACAGAGGCGTGCTGTTTTTATTGTAGTCTGAGGGTTCAAAGGTCACAGGCATTCAATTGTGGTGTTCAGACTTTTCATTTACACACAGGGATTTCTCCGGATTTCCTGAGTCATTTGATGCGCTTTAGAGGATGAAGTACCTAAAATCCTTGGAATCGCTTGCTCATCAGCCATCCTTGTTCATGAAGGACCCAGCCTTTCTGGGATGCTCCTTTTATAAGCATAATTGCGTCACCTGTATGAGATGTTTTTTGAAAATTCATAATGTTCCTAGCCTTGAATCGCTCCTGTCCCAACTTTTTGGGAACATGTTACAGGCATCAATTCCAGAATGAACATATATTTACAAAAAAACAACGACACTGATAAGATAGAACTTTCATATCTTCTCTTTGTACCGTTTCGTTCAAACGCAAGTCAAAGTGGATTTATTTGCAAGTCACTGCGTTCTGTTTTCATTTGCATTTCACATACAGTCCCAACTATTTTGGAATTGGATTTGAATGTGGATGGATGGATGGATACTTTATTGATCCCATAGGAAAGTTAGCAGCCAGTAGCACTCGCACAGTACAGGACAGTTATAATAATGAGGGTGATATAAAAAGAAGAATATATACAAAAAAATTTGCTGATCCTGATATGATTCCAATATCCCTACATTTTCTGAGCAAGTAAACACTTGTTGCCCACAAACTGTCCAGGATTTTTTGGTGGTCTTATGTTTGCACTGTGCTCTACCTGTGTAATTTTTTTTAATAACAGTGTTTATGTTTGTTCTGCTGCCTCATTTCTTTAGCGATGAATAAGGACCAGTGGGACCCTGAGTTTCTGAAAGCCATTCCCATCATGAAGACTCGCAGCGGGATGCAGTTCTCCTGCGCCTCTCCCAGCCACAGCTGCCCAGAGAACACCTACGAGGTGTGGGTGTGTAACAGCGACGGTTATGTGGGTCAGGTGTGTTTGCTGAATATTCGGGACGAGCCCACGGTGGAGGCCTGCATCGCCGTCTGCTCCGCACGCATCATCTGCATCGCCGCTGTACCAGGACTCAAGAGCAGGTCAGCCTACGACTCCCAGTGTTGTTGTTGTTGTTGTTGTTTTGTCTGTGCACAGTGTGCTCACGACACGGCGCTCTGCATAAACCACCCACAGTCTGAGCTCATCACTTAAGTGCAATCCCTGATAGCAGGAGGATAGAGGGCCGCTGTTGGCCTGCTGATGGCAGAGCTGGTGGTCCACTGGCGTTTTGCTCAGCGTTTTCTGGGCGGCCCACCGGTGTTTAAGCAGAGTTATAGACAAAATTCCACATTTCATCACTCATTTTCCACTCACAGTCCAATTTCCTTACTTTTCCTTCCTTTCTTCTATTATACTCTGTAAATTAGATTAGTAAATCATTTAATCCAGCTCAGCGTCAGCAACAACATTTTCTATAAAATCATTTTATATCAGGCCTAGTCATTATTTTTTTCTCTCAGTTGTTTGTAATATTTGTCTTTTCCAAAATAAAAGGCTCTGTGCATTTAAAATCTGTTTGAGAAGATTAAAAAACTAGTTACAGTTTGTATGCAGGTCAATAATCTGGTGGTCCCAGGGTGGACCAGCTGTGGCAAACAGTCAGTGGGGTGCCCACCGTATCAATTATTAAAAACTCTATTCATATCTTCACATATTCATAACTCCAGCAGCACTGCTGTGTCTGATCCACTCATACCAGCGCAACACACACATCCACCACCCAAATAGTACCTGCTCTGTGAGGGTCCATGGGGGTCCTGACCACTGAAGAACAGGGTAAAAGGGGGCTAACAAAGTATGCAGAGAAACAGATGGACTACAGTCTGTAACTGTAGAACTACAAAGTGCACCTATATAGTAAGTGGAGCTGATAAAATGGACAATGAGCGTAGAAACAAGGAGGTGGTCATTTTTTTTTTTATACCGATTTTATTTATTTTAGTATTTACTTTATTATTGTAGATACAGGATATAACCTAAGACACTAAACATGTCTTGGCTGATCGACTACATTTTGGGGTAAAAGGGAAATGTGTGTTTTGTCACTCAGCATAGCTCATCAGTCTCTTTTTTATAGCCCCAGAGAGCGTGTGGAGTCCAGGCATTCTGCCCCCGCCGCCCCTTCCGAACCGCCCCCGACCCCCTCCACCCAGCCTCAGCAGCCTCAGCTTCACATCTCCATCTCAGGCTCTTCTCTGGAGCTCAGCGAGCCCCCCACGGCCCCCATCCCAGAACTGGTGCCTTTTGACAGCGACGATACTGACGATGAAGATTCCCCAAGTCCTTCATCCACACTGCAGAGCCAGGCGTCGCACTCCACCATCTCCTCCAGCTACGGCAGTGAGTCTCACTGAACACTCTCAATGTACTCACATTCACTCTGATGATTGTATTTTGAGGATATTCACTGACTCCATGCTGCCTCCTCCACGTGTAATTACTGCCTTTACTCATGATAAACAGCTCAGATTCAGCCTTTGTGCCCAGTATGTCCCAACACAGGTATAAGTCTCTGACCTTGACAATTTAATTACAGTTTTTTAGGAAAGATTTAGTGCATCATGAAGTTTTACATTTCACAAGAGTTCACAATTCATTATATTTAAATTATTTTGCTACAATTCAGTATTATATTGCGTTCAACAAAAGGCTGGTAAAGTTGTGTAATGCTAAAAAAACACAGGTGGTTAATTGGCAACAGGTCAGTAACATGATTGAGAATAAAAGAGTGTCTCAGAAGTAAAGATGAGGAGGACTTCACCACTCTGTGAAAGACTGCACCATCAAATAGTGCAACAACTTTTGCTTTTCTTTTTCCAGCTCATTTAAAATGGAATGAGGTGAAGTGGAAAAGTGTCCGACAAATCAGTGTACAGTTCAAAAGCCAGTATTCATGATGGTATAGGGGGGCATTAGTGCACATGCCATGGGTGACCTGCACATCTGTGAAGGCACCATTAATGCTGAACGATATAAACATGTTTTGGCAACATATGCTGCCATCCAGACGACGTCTTTTTCAGGGAATGCCTTGATTATTTCAGCAAGACAATGTCAAACCACATTCTGCACGTATTACAACAGGATGGCTCCATATTACAAGAGTCCGGGTGCTAAACTGACCTGCCTGCAGTCCAGACCTGTCACCCACTGAAAACATCTGGTGCATTATGAAGTGAAAAATATGACAAATGAGACCCCCGAACTGATGAGCAGCTGAAATCTTTTTCAAACAAGAATGGAAAACATTTCACTTTCTAAACTACAGCAGTGTCTCCTCAGTTCCCAAATGCTTACAGAGTGCTGTGAAAAGAAGAGGTGATGAAGCACAGTGGTAAACAGGCCCCCGTCCCAACTTTTTTGGAACGTGTTGTTGGCATCAAATTCAAAATGGGTATATTTTTTTTCAAAAACAATACAATTTCTCAGTTTCAACATTTGATTGGCTGTATTTGTAGAATTTTCCTTTAAAAATATGGTTTACATGATTTGTATATCATTGCATTCTATTTTTATTTACATTCTGCACAGCATTACTTTTTTGGAAATGGGGTATAATAAGTACATATAAGATTATATACACCGTATAGTCTTATATCTTTACGCCAGGCAGCAGGAAAACTCAGTAGTTTGATGAGAAAAGCAAACAATCCACATTGCCAGACTGGAGCTTTCTAACTACCGCAGTATCTCTTGTTTCACAGGGAAAAAAATCCATTTCTTTTACTTGAAGAATTGAGATGCAGTGGTGCTCTAATAACAGCATGAGATTCTGTAGGGGTTTCTGATAAAGTGGCCAGTGAGAGTGTAATATTGAACAAAGGCAAATTCATATTGCTAGTTGCTATAGCTGTGATCCAATATGATCCAATTAGTTTTCATTTTGAGGGACGTAAAAGCTTTGCTGTAATTATAAAAGTAGTTTAATTAAATAAATAAACTCTTCCCTCTCAGATGATGAGGCGGCAGGCTGTAAGGACATGGCTACAGAGACCACGAGTTCAGAGGAGGAGCAGGAGTTTCCCGTGTCCAGCACATTCGGGGCGCAGCGGCTGAGCGCCGAGAGCCCGATGGACGGGCGGGCGATGCGCCGCTCCAGCAGGGGGTCCTTCACCCGCGCCAGCCTTGAGGACCTGCTGAGCATTGACCCCGAGGCCTACCAGAGCTCCGTCTGGCTCGGCACCGAGGACGGCTGGTGGGTGACCATTACAGACAAGCATTTTCAGTCTTTATCTGTAACTGAATACTAATTGGATTAGCAGGGGTGTAAATCCACACAATGACTGAATTCAGTGATTCCTTAGGGAAATGATTCAAAACATCGGGATTTATCCGGTTTCATTATGATTTGATTCAGTGATTCTTTAGGAAATGAATCCATGCTTCCTGAAATGAAATTTTTTATTATGAATCGATTCGATGATTCTTTAGGAGATGAATCAGTGCTTCATGCAATGTCATTATTCATTATGCTTCGTTCATTGATTCTTTAGGAAAATGATTCAGTGCATCACAATATCCATGTTCATTATGAATCAATTCAGTGTTTCTTCAGGAAATGAATCGGTGATCCGTGAAATGTCATTATTCATTATGAATTGATTCAGTGATTCTTTAGAAAATAATTCAGTGCATCACGATATCCATGTTCATTATGAATCAATTCAGTGATTCTTCAGGAAATGAATCGGTGATCCGTGAAATGTCATTACTCATTATGAATTGATTCAGTGATTCTTTAGAAAATGATTCAGTGCTTCATTAAATGTCATTTTTCATTAGGAATCAATTCAGTGATTCTTTAGGAAGTTGGAACCCACTGCTTTAGGAAATTAGTACATCATGAAATATCAATTGTCTTTATGAATTGATTCACTAATTATTTAGCATTTTAATCTAGTGCATCAGGAAATGTCAGTTTTGACCACAATTCGATTCCATTTGATCATTTTGGTTAATAAATTCAGAATTATTTTAAAAAGTTGTTTTCACAGCCGTTTTGGTTAGTGTTCAAATAGTTGAGCATCATTTCTCTACCTCCAAAATAGACCACCAATGGCACAAAGACACCATGAAAATTCATAAAAATTGTGACAATCAAATTTCGCTGCTCTTTCAAACCAGAGAATTTAATTTCTCAAAATTATGGTCTGCAACTCTGTTACAGACCACAATGTTCAACTTTTGCATCCATTTTGAGTTCACAAATAGTACATTTTCCCTTTTTATACTCCAAATAATCGGCCACGATCGCAGCCTGCACACCAAATGAGCATAAACGTGAAGTAGATTTGAGAAAAACCCGTAAGAAGTCTTTGTTTAGGGATTTTTTTGCCTGTTCTCACCTCAAACAACCTTGTCCTCACTTCAACTCTACCTTCAACAGCCCCCCTCCCCACCCTTCCACACCTAAACACAGTCATTACTTCATGTCTGGGCCTGTTCTCCATGACTCACCTCAGGCTTTTTCCTTTTCACCCTCTCACTCACACTAAACTTGGGCCTGTGTTCTACATATCTCTTATATTTTAGTTTTTATTATGCTTGTGTGGTTTTATGAGCCAAAAAGAATTATAATTTGTTTTAAACCCTTTCTAAGTTTATAAGTGTTTTAGGTCAACAGACTTTCCGTTCTTTTATGAAATAAGGATCAAAATGATTGTCTGTGATGACTGAGCGAACCCTACAGACGCAGTAGACAGATTACGTTGAAAATGCTGCAGTTTTCCGTAAACTAAAGTTTTAGGAATGCTGCTCGACAGACAACATGCTGATTCACTCTGACGTGAAAAGACATTTCCTGTCTGTCTTCTCTTCCACAGAAGACTTGGGCAAAAATATATGAAACAATTCTAATCAGCGGTGGGCAGTAACTGGTTCCATTAACTCATTTGCATTAGCCTTGTCAAATAGGGATTAAAGGGCCCTTATAAAACGGATAGTTCTGATCCGAAAATCTGATCAGCTGAGCCACGTTTGAAGCTGTTGTAAAATCCATGATATACGCACGCCTGTGACCACCTCACAACGACTGAATTGTATATTAATACGCCACAGCGTGAAAAAACCCTCATGGAATAATCTTTGACTCTAATCCTGCTGGCATGGGCCACCGAGTGTACTGATGAAGTAAGAACCTGTTTTTTCTTTTAAATGGAGGGGCTGACGACTTATGTTCTTAACTAGAACCAGGCTGGTCAGCTAGCTAACAGGCTAAAAGATACAACTCCATCATTAATATCACAGGCTTGAATTAAAGTATGATTTTATGATGGTATGATTAACTGTAAAACAACAGTATTAAAATCTAAAAAATGTCACTTGAATGTCTTACACACTTCAATGTTCGTGTTTCAGTCAAAAGTCGTGTCAAACCCAGGCTGAATCCCAAACGACTCTGTGCTCCCTAAATAGTGTTCTAGCTATGAAAGTTTAGGCCTCTACAGCCAAATAATGCATCATTTGTCATCCCAAATGACTGTTTCTTAGCTGTATTTTGCTCTGTTGGGCTGCAGGATCCAGTATTTAAACTCCTACGTAGTGCACTATGTAGGGAGCAGGGAGCCATTTGAGATTCAGCCCCAGTGTGAGAAGAGGGCGCCGCTGGATTGGTGCTAAATAAGACTCGGTGGTAATTTGGTGACCAAAAAGTGCTTATAAAGCAAAGGTTTTTGCATCAAACAGTGCTGTGTTATCATATGTTCATTGTTATACCATAAAAAACAGTTTATGAAATGACCACAATATACAGTGATGGCCAGCTGAACGTTCTTCTCATTCAGTGGTCCATTCAGCTTGGCAATGATACCAACTCTAAAGGAACTACATTTCTTGGCGGAATACTTGTTTAAGTTGATTATTATCAATAATAACATAAAATATTTTCTGAAAAAATGTGTATTTTATCTTATTTTATGTTGACCACCGTTTTATAAAAGCAATAAGCCACTTTAGGCTCTGCATTACTGCGATTTTATCACAGGGAAGGGAGTTTAAGGCACTCCACGAACACCCTTCCCGTGACAAAATCACAGTAACGCACAGCCTCTAGTGGCTTACTGCTTTAATGCACCATCTTTTTCTTGTTTTATTTTTTCCCTTTGAGCTTGAATTACAACATCTGTGTGAAGTTATGTACCAAAAATGGTCTTAATTAGCTTCTACATGAACATTCTCCACCCTCTCTTTATCCCTTAGAATTAAAGAAGCTGTTTTGTTACTGTCCCTTTAAGACTGATATATGTAAATGAGCTCTGTTCTGTTTGGCTGCCATGTATTATGCATCATTCAGAAAGTAGTTTGGGGTGAAACGCTCCTTGTAACTTTAGCATGAATGGGCGGAGCTAAACTGCTGTAGGCTGAATAGGTGGATATATACCAACCAGCCACTTCATTAAGTGTTCATCTTGTTTCTACACTCATTGTCCATTTTATCAGCTCCACTTACTATATAGGGTCACTTTGTAGTTCTACAGTTACAGACTGTAGTCCATCTGTTTCTCTGCATACTTTGTTAGCCCCCTTTTACCCTGTTCTTCAGTGGTCAGGACCCCCATGGACCCTCACAGAGCAGGTACTATTTGGGTGGTGGATCATTCTCAGCACTGCAGTAACACTGACATGGTGGTGGTGTGTTAGTGTGTGTTGTGCTGGTCTGAGTGGATCAGACACAGCAGTGCTGCTGGAGTTTTTAAACACCTCAGTGTCACTGCTGGACTGAGAATAGTCCACCAACCAAAAACATCCAGCCAACAGTGTCCTGTGGGCAGCGTTCTGTGACCACTGATGAAGGACTAGAGGATGACCAATACTAACTGTGCAGCAGCAGATGAGCTATCGCCTCTGACTTTACATCTACAAGGTGGACTGACAAGGTAGGAGTGTCTAATAGAGTGGACAGTGAGTGGACACAGTGTTTAGAAACAGTGTTTAAAAACTCCAGCAGCACTGCTGTGTCTGATCCACTCGTACCAGCACAACACACACTAACACACCACCACCAGTGTTACTGCAGTGCTGAGAATGACCCACCACCCAAATATCTGCTCTGTGGGGGTCCATGGGGGTCCTGACCACTGAAGAACAGGGTAACAAAGTGTGCAGAGAAGCAGATGGACTACAGTCTGTAACTGTAGAACTACAAAGTGCTCCTGTATGGTCAGTGGAGCAGATAAAATGGACAACGAGCGTAGAAACAAGGAGGTGGACTGGTCAGTGTATGTAATTGCAGTGTTTTTCACAAAAGACAGTATTAGTGCAGCTGGATTGTTGTATCTGGACTGTGTGGAGTGAACAGTATGTTTTGAGACTTAAACAATGTTTACCCTAAACTCTTTCCAGCATCCATGTGTACCAGTCTTCAGACAACATCAGGAACAGGAAGAACAGTATGAAGATGCAGCACGCGGCCTCCATCCTCTGCATCCTGTAAGCATCCAGTCCAGCAGTGCACCGTTTACTGTTCACCATTTACTGACCTTCGATGACCGAACTGGAAGTGACGTCCTGCTTTCTGTGTCTCTTTTATTCAAGGTATCTTGACAACAAGGTGTTTGTGTCTCTTGCCAATGGTGAAGTGATTGTTTATCAGAGGGAAGCAGGTAAGCACCGTTTCACAGTCATGATTATTGATAATTGATAATTAGCCTGAACTAGCATATTATCTTTTTCGACACTGCATCATTTATGTGCACCGTCTCTCAAATCAGCACCTCAAAATTTCCCACTGATACTGATTTTAAGGAGTTGAAAGCTCCACCAGTTACTTTTGCTGATATAGGTTAATATGGTCAAAAATTAGTTTTTGTAAAACAGTTCTTTTCTGACTGATATGATTTTTGTGTCAGATAATCAGTACAAGCTTACAAAATATTAATTCATAAATATTGTTGTGTGGAGGGTGAAGCTTCCCAGCATTCTTAGAAGTTTTGTTGTTAATTTATATATATATATATATATATATATATATATATATATATATATATATATATATATAATTAATATGGATAGTATTAGTAGTGTAATATAGTCATTTGGATAGTTATATATATATATATATATATATATATATATATATATATACACACACACATATATCAGAACCTTAATATCAATATCAGTCAGGCCCTAATTTAAAGGGGAATTCCACCAATAAAAAAAAAGTATAATTAGTTAATCTGTATAATTAAACAGTGAAGATGTAAACAGAGTCATTCAGAGTGGTTTGGTGTGAAACGCTCTGCTCTAGAGAAACTTACAGTCAGAAATGTTCACAGTGGTGGTGATAGGAACCAGACGTCCACCTCTAAAAGCTCCCTCACAGAAAGTTACTACATGAAATGGATGTAAATTCACTGCCTGATGTCTGCGACGTTGTTTCATGGTGTTCTGAGGCAAAATAGTCCCCATAGAAAACTTATTTTTTTCAGATTTATCGCTATGTTGCCATCATCAGCATTCCGTATAAAAACTTGTGTCGGTTCATTGATGGTTTTAATAGTAAATAAAATGTCTATATTGGTGTTGTAGTCATGGTGACCCCTGGTTCCTATCACCACCACTGTAAAGAAACCTGAGTCGGCAGGTTTCTCTACAGTGAACCGTTTCACGTCAGAATAAAACGCACTGTAATTCCCATTTAAGTGGCTTTACTGCCATAAATGGTAGTTAACAGTTGCTCAAAGGAAATGAATGCTTTAATACTAACAGTGACGATAATGATTAAATAAACAAATGATCTCCGTCTCTCCTTCACAGGTAGTTTTTGGGATCCTCAGAGTTCTCAGACGTTGTGTTTGGGTTCCCCGAGTGGACCGGTCACTAAGATGGTTCCTGTGGCCGGTAAACTGTGGTGTGGCTGCCAGAACCGAATCCTCATCATTAACACCAGCACTTTAGCTCAGGAGGTGAGACACTTTTTCTGTAAAATAGTGCCACCTGGTGGACTCTGGAAAGTTGTGGACGTTTCCTTGTGACAATGCAGAGCTGCTCAATGGTATTTAAAAAATAGCAATAATAATAAAGATTCTGACAATTCTAGTCAGTTGTATTACGATGATGTATTTCGTGGTGTTATTTTTTATGTAGTTTTAATGTAGAAATCACAATTACTTCTTATACAGACATGCTGGCTTTGTTACTTGTTACAAATTATTATTGCTGTGGGAAGGAAACTGCATTTGTGACATTTTTGTCAGTTTTTGAACTAGTTATTCATCTTTTCTAACCTCTTGCGTATCTTTTTTGTTCATAAAATTGTGTGGTGATTTGTCTGACTCAGCTGACTGACAAACAGATTACCTTTTTAAAGAGAAAAAATTAGTGGGGGGAAAAAACAAACCAAAAAAACTCGCCTCTCTCATGACAGTAATGACACACGAGCACGGGTTGACCCTGAAATACTGCACTGTACTGTTATGGAATAAGGATTTGACACAAATGGTGTGAAATATGAACTGGGAGTCTTTATCTGCAGCCTGATTCTCACTTGGCTACTGTAACCTCTTAGACTACAGACCTACTGTTCAGAATCAGAATCAGAACCGCTTTATTTCACCAAATATGTTACACATACAAGGAATTTGTCTCGGTGAGTCACAAATGTATCACATGTAACATACTAAACAGACCAGACAAGCACACAGGCAATTAACGAGTACTGAGCTAAGGGAAAAGTAAAATATGATACAATAAATAGAATAAAGAACAAAGAGTAATAATAAAAACATGTGAAAGGAGCTCAGGAGATGTGGATATCTGTACATGTCACTGTTGTCGGAACAAAACCTTGTATCTCCAAAATGGTAACTTTACAGGAGAAGGAAAAAACCTAGTTTACATTTAATGGAAGTCAATGGAACCAGAATTTTTTTCAAGTCATTTTAGACCACATTTTCAAATTATGTCAAAAACTAAAACACAACAGAAATGGAGTTAGGAGGTTTTCTTCCGACAGCAGTGATATGCAGATATGAATGTCTGTACGTATGCAGGTCAAGTAGACGTGCCATAAAATATACTATAAAAACTGTCATACACAGAATATTACAGACTAATATGGACGTCTGTGAAAATGTACTTGTACACTAGAGCAAATAAGCAGTGTTCTGTGTTCAGTAATTAAGTTTAAAGGCCCTGCAGGCAAATGAGAAGTTTAGCCATCGCTATATTGTCATAAACACGTCTACCTGCCTCTCATAGTGGTGCTGCAGTAGCATCTAAAGTGAGGTTTCCTGGTTAAAGACTCTGAAAACCTCCTTCTGATGATGTTTCCAGAAGATGGAAGTAGCTTTTGAAAGTGTTCAGAAGGGAATACTTCACTAATTAATTCTTCAGCTAAATTCTTCAGAATTTCTGCATAATTCAATCAAGATCGTTCAGATTGGTTTGGTGTGAAACGCTCCGTTCTACATGAACTTACAGAGTCAGAACTGTTTCACAGTGGTGGTGATAGGAACCAGACGTCCACCTCTAAAAGCTCCCTCACAGAAAGTTACTGTATGTTATGATTTCATTGCCTGATGTTTGAGACGTTATTTTATGATAGTTTTGAGAAAGTTTATTTGTTTTTTACACTTAATGATGGAGACCTCCTGGTGCCCGACACCACCACTGTCAAGGAATCAGAGTCAGGAAGTTTCTCTAGACTGAAGCATTATTAAGACTTTGTTTTTTACACTGTTCTCTAATTAGTATACATTATTCATGAACTACTATGAATTATTCTGTAATTAGTATAAATTATTCAAAAACCATTTTGAACCTAATGCGCTCTGTAATAATGAGAGTGAAAACCTCATACAGTCTGTTTAATCTCTTCGTAAATGTAATCATGTGTTATGTCTGTCTGTGCCCAGCACTCATTCCAGGTTGGTCAGGACAGCGGGCGCTGTGTGACCTGTATGGTCAGTTATGGTCAGGGTGTCTGGGTGGCTCTTCAGGGCAGTGCTCAGGTGCGCCTGTATCACTCCACTACCTATGAGAGCATCACTGAGGTGGACGTGGCTCCAGCAGTGCACAAGATGCTGGCAGGTATGAATGCAGCCTGTTTATTAGCCTGTTTTCATTTCACACATCTCATAACTACAGATGAGACTTATCCACATTCTGTCTGCGTTAGGCCGATGTGCTCTACTGGAGCACCACCTTACTGGTGTACAGTTAGGCCCAATCCCATTTCACCCCTCGCCCCTACCACTCAGCCCTTAGTCCTCCGTTTTGCACACTCATGTCTAGGGGTAGGTTGTCCTGATTCTTGTTGAGATAGAGGGGTAGAGCGAAGTGTTGGGGCTACATGGTCCTCCAAACGGAGGTTTTTCAGAGACTCCAAACAGAGAGTTATGAGAAAAAAAGAAAAACGGCAAGATGGAGAACAAGAGACCACAGAAGCCCACAAATGTGAGAATTTTCTCTGTTAAAAAATTACGATAATCACTGTATTATATTAGTTTAACGTTGATTCAATGTATTATGGTCGTTTTCTTCATAACAAGCATAAAAAAATCACTAGTAGTAGCTGATGTCTTGGTAGCTAGCTAGCTAACTTTCCCATTCCACCTTAAATGGTAGGCCCAGCAGAGGAGGGTAAAGTTCAGCTCCGCACTGCTGGGCTTTAGTTACATTTAGGACATCATATGCCGTCAAAGAGGGGGACAATTATTTTCCATTCCACCTTAAATGGTGCAGCAGATGTGACGTTTCAGGCACCAGAATGTAACTGCTGCACCATTTAAGGTGGAACGGAAAACTTTGAACAAGAAGCTGGTGAATATCTGACTTCAGCTTCGTATCACTGAAGAATTAGGGGTGGGTGATAATAAATAATTGCCCCCCTCTTTGAAGATCATATGATGCCCTAAATGTAACTAAAGCCCAGCAGTGAGGAGCTGAACTTTACCCTCCTCTGCTGTCACTGCAGACTGGCAGGGTCGCCTACAGAGCAGCGCTAGTAGCCTGTTGACTCCAGGTTCCAAGGGGCAAGGAGACACTCAAAAACAAGGGGAAGGGGTAAAAATAAGAAATGGGATTGGGCCTTAGAGGCTGTAGCTCATCTGTTGATGCACAGTTTTGTTAGCCGTCCTCTAAGAGCTGCTACCATGTTAGTGTCACTGCTGCACTGAGAATGGCCCACCACCCAAATGATATCTGCATGACAGTGGTCTTTTGGTCAGAAACTGACCAGTCATGAAAAGAGTTGTGCAGCAACAGATGGGCTACAGTCTGTACACCTACAGAGTTGACCTAGAGGGTAAGTGTTTCGAATAAAGTGGCCAGCGAGCGGAATCACCCAGTACACCGAGCGTGAATCTGTTTGACAGATAGAAATCCGATTTGCATCAGAGCTGCTTTTCCCACATTCAATGCACATCCAGCTAATTCCCCTTTAAAATCTCCTTAGACGATGTCAAGCGCTAAATTTTGTGTTATGTAGTTAAGCAGTTATTATGAGGCTTAAGTATGATTCAGACGAGATCTGTTTTACAGGGAGAGGTAGTGTAATAATTGCAGGTGCTTCTCCGCGATTTTTGTCCCATCCGAATTCGCCATGTCAGTAATGTTTACAGACTGCAGGCTTCAGTGTCAGGAAAGATTACAGCAGCCTTTACCTGCCGTAAACTGAAGAACTGTAGAAATAAGCCCAGGTTATATTAGTCCCATGCTATAAAATGAATCATAGAAATAACCCCAAGGTGTATTAATCCTGTGCTATAAAACAAACCTTAATTATAATCCCAATGTATATTAATCCTGTGCCATAAAACAAACCATAGGAATAATCCCAATTTATATTAATCGTGCTGTAAAACAAGCTGTGGAAATAACCCCAGATTATATTAATCCCGTTCTATAAAACAAACCATGAAAGTATAACCTGTGATTATTTCTGTTCTTTCTCCTCTCTCTCTCTCTCTCTCTCTCTCTCTCTCTCTCTCTCTCTCTCTCCCTCTCTCTCAGGCTCTGACGCCATCATCCGTCAGCACAAAGCTGCGTGTTTGCGGATCACGGCTCTGCTGGCCTGCCGGGACGTGTTGTGGATTGGGACGAGTGCGGGAGTTGTTCTGACCCTGTCCATCCCCCCTGTGTCGTCCAGCGTGGGGGCAGGGTCACTGAGGACGCCCCTCCTGCCCATGGGCTCCGCTCACGGACACACCGGACACGTCCGCTTCCTGACCTCCATAGAGCTCCCCGAGGGATTCGACGTCAGCTTCCCCGCCCAGACAGAACCAGGTGGGTTCGAACACTCGGCCAGTAGCACCGCCACAGCACTGCTCCCCCTACTGGCCAGAGCTGAAACCGCTTTACTGTCTTAAAGGCGACAACAGTAAAAAGAATAATATCTCATTTTAGCTGGTGGAACAGTGCGATTGAGCAAGCTTATTAAGAGCAAAACAGTATCATGTGTAAACGGCCTTTATTTACATGTTTCTGACAAACTAAAATAACTAAAATAAAAGTTTTATAGAAAGTTTTTTTAGAACAAAATAAAAGCTCCTCAGAAGAGTCTAGATAAGGAAGTTGCTTTTTTGGTGAACATACTGTGTAACTTATTATAATTATTATAATTATATTTTAATTTATATAATAATGTATCATTTATTTTTAGCACAAATAATTACAAATATTTGAAGTTGTTTTCCTCAAAATAAAAGGAAAAAAGCTTTTGCTTTTCAGATTTTCTGTTGGCCCGTTCATTATGAAATATTTACAGAAATAGAAAAAAGAACAGAAAATTATGTTAAAGGAAAAATACCACACAATTTCACAATTGTAGCATAATTTGATCACTAAAATGTCAGCATAGGTTTGGTGTAAAATGCTCTGTTCTAAAGAAAACTAGCCAAGTTGGGGTTGTTTACAGTGGTGGTGATGGGAACCATCCATAAATAATAAAAATGTATGTTTTCAGATTTACCACTATTTTACCATCATCAACATTAAATATATGAACTCTGAAGACACTGTAGGTTCACTAGTCTCCTACACTGGAATCCTCTTTTAAGAGTAGTTCTAATAACAGTGACATTAAGTTATTGAAAACTGACAGAGATCCACTTTGTAAGGGAAAGTTCCTGAAGCCAGCTAATTATGTTAAAATGTTGAAATGGTGGAAGACTGCTGATGGTTGCTAAAGTGTTGCTTAGATTTTGCTAGGCGGTTGCTATGGTATCCAAGGTGGATGGTAATGTGTTGCTAGGTGCTACCGTAAAACTGCCACCTTAAATTCAGTGCCACCTTAAATCTACTGCCACCTTAAATTCAGTGCTACCTTAAATTTACTGAGAGCTTAAAGTCACTGCCACCTTAATACTGCCACCTTAAATTTACTGAGAGCTTAAATGCAGTGGTACCTTAAATTTACTGATAGCTTAAATTCACTGCCACCTTAAATTCAGTGCCACCTTGATTTTACTGATAGCTTAATACAGCCAACTTAAATTCAGTGCTACCTTAAATTTACTGCCACCTTAAAGTTACTTAGTAATTACTTACTTAATGTTAATGCCGCCTTAAATTCAGTGCCGTCTTAAATTTACTGATGCCTTAAATTTGCTGCCACCTTAAATTCAGTGCTACCTTAAATCTACTGCCACCTTGAAGTTACTGCCACCTTAAATTCAACCTTAAATTCACTACCTCCTTCAATTCAGTGCTACCTTAAAAGCAGCGGCACCTTAAATTGAGTGCTACCTTAAATGCAGTGCTATCTTAAATTCAGTGCTACCTCAAAAACAGTGCCACCTTAAATCCATTATTTGTGCTGTAAGAGTCTGTGTGTACTGTGCATGAGCGTTTTCCAGGCCAACTTAATAAAATATTTTACCCTTTTTACGTCTTTTCTAATCATCTTTCCCTTGTAGCTAACTCGACTCAGTCCAGCTCAGAGGTCAGCGGCAGTGTGGGCCTTCAGCGACGAGACTCCTCCCACCGCCGGGCGTCCACTCTCCTCCAGGCCAAGTCCAGCCTGCTGGTCATCAGCGGAGGGGACGGATACGAGGACTTCAGGCTGACCAACAGCAGTGAGACGGTGGGCAGAGACGACAGCACCAACCACCTGCTGCTGTGGCGTGTCTGAAATAAGCTCCGCCCACTGTCAGACTCCATGTGTGGGAGGCTCCGCCCCCTCCACGCCAGCCGCTGGCCGCACACATACGCTCTTTAACCCCCCCTCCCACCTCCCCCCACCCGGCTGTTCTCCAAACATCTGCATCTCAAGCCCTGAACCCTGCTAGCTACGTGCATGAGCGTTACACAAACTGAAAACAAACAAACAAACAAAAGCAAGGGGTTGTTTTGTTGTTGTTTTTTCGTTCCGTTGTGTTAGCGGTTGATGAGTTATACATTCTGTCACTTTGTCCGATGGTGTAAGAAGTGAACTTTGCTCTGCTTGTGGTGTTTTTTTCCTTGTGGGCTCCTTTTACATGTAGTGAGAAAAAAAAAACTGCAGGATTTAGCAGGAATGACGTTAAGAAGAAAGAAAGGATGATGAAAAGAAAGAATGACGGAGGGACAGAGATAGAATAACAGACAAGAAGGAAAGAAAGTATGAAAAGAAAAGAAAGAAAGAGCATCTGAGGACTCTGCGAAGTGGAAAAGGCATGGCTTGTGGTGAATTAGCTTATTAGCTTTGCCAGATTAGCTGAGTACTTCATTTTGCCATCAGAAAGGAAGGAAGGAAGGCAGAACTGGACAAAGACAGGTTGCTAGAAATGAAAAGAAAGATGGAATAAAAGAAAAGAAGGAAGGAAAGAAAGAAAAGAGGAATGCTGAAGCAGATTTATAGATTTTAAGAGAGAAAAACGATGCAGGGTAGTTGATGAGAACTGTGGACGGGCTTTGGGGCGCTAAAGCTAATTTAAGGACGGATGGATGGACGTCTGAGAGCGATCCTGTCGTCCTCCGTCCCGCTCCGCTTCTTTTCGAGAACAGTGGGCACTCGTTTATTCAGTGTGGTCAACTACTGCTCTTTCACACTGTGATAGCGTTCACGAATGAAGATGCTTATCCTTTAGCGCTATGCTAAAGCGCTGAGGGTGATATGAGAGTTAGCCTAATGTGCAATATAAGGATAGGGTACATACTTAAGACTATACCATATATACTAGCACTCACGCACACACACATACACACACTTACCCCATCTGTGAGAGTGTGCAGTTAGCGTTCTGACCGTAATCGACAGCGTCACGTTTGTTTCTTCACGCGTAATCACCTTATTCTTTCTGTTATCTAGCTATTATTTTTCTAATTAAAGAAGAGTCCAGTTGGCGGTCTGAAAAGAGAACAGCCAGAGCGTTCGATACAGCTGTTGTGGCGAAAAAAAAAAACTATGTACAGTATTTATGTTTTTGATTTTAGTTAAGCGTTTTATAGCACTTAATTTATAAAGATGTTTTCCGTTTTTTTTTTCTTCTGTCTTTCCTGAAAAAGCTCTTGTTTGAGTGAAGCTGTGTAAGTCAGTTGAAACTCATTCACTCCCACTTAGAAGAACCAACCACACAGGCTTTAACAGACCATGCAGTGTCTGAGTTGTGCATTTTTTTCAGTTTAAAACTGGGTAATTTTGATTTGAAGCAGTTTATCTTATAAAGCAGTGAGCAATCACCAACCCTCCTCCTGGAGATCAACATGCCGGACACTAATGCTAGCATTAATCCAGCCACTTGAGGACCTCTGAGCATCAGCAGGTGGAAGATGGTGGTTAGAACGAGACTCTACCAGAGCCAGTTTATGAGGAGCCTGGCCACTTCCTATTTCCCCCGTTATATCAAAAACAGGAAGGGCGCCTGCCAACGGGTCCTCAATGAATGGGAGTAAGTGGAGCTCAACGGCTAAAAAGGAAAAGTTAAAATAGTTTCTAATCACTCGACCCAGAACTTTCCTTTAATTTTAGAAAGTAGAAGGATGTGTTTCAGTAAATAAGCAAAGAAAACTCACCTGTATGTTTCCTTTTTTCTACATTAATGGATTTTAGCAGGACGCTAACATTACTGCTACTGACTGCTGATTGGTTGGCGAGCAGAGCAGCTCATTGGCTGTTTGCGCTCACTGATATCATGGGCGTACATGAGGCGGCGCTTTAAACTCCTATAACTCATGTTTAAAAGCTCCTAAAAATATAACAGCGGCATTAAAATGTTTCTGTGTTCAGGATATGAATGTATTCTTTGTATGAAAACTGTTTAAGCATTTATAAACTAATTTTGCTCAAATGCTCCATCTTAACTCATTCATTCTGGACTCGCTCAGGAGCGCCCTCTAGTGTTTGAGAAACCTGGAAGTCATTACAGAGTGGCCATTCTCTTCTCTACAAGTTCTCTGACTCTGCAGGAGGGTAGATCTCCAGGACCAGGGTTGGTGACCATGGTTAAAGAAGGTCAGATATTTTCTCTTCTATTTTTCATCACAGCCTAAATAAATCACAGCTGATTGTGCCAACATAAATTTGGTCAAATCTCAGAGCCGTGTTCTTCTTTCGAAGTGATTGTTCAGCGAAAAATCAAAAGCCAAGACGTGTTTGGTGTCTGAAGTTTGCTTCTTCAGTTTTGCACTGGAGCTGCAAGGCTAATGTAGCTAATAATGGGAGCTGCAGCAGTTAGCATGGTGCTAGCTACATGCCATGAGTGTTATGTGGAACCCTGACTGATTAGACTTGTATGCCTTAAAATAGGAAGTATTAACCAAATGGAAATGTTTTTTTTGTTTGTTTTTTTTTGTTTTGTTTTTTGTTTTTTGTTTTTTTTTATTTCAAACAGGTAAAATCCCTCTTCCAGTGGGCCGCCATCATCGCCCTGCTTGCAGTTCTATGGCTTGATTATATATTTGAGTTAAATTGCACTCTTAAAGATGGTTCTTTAAGGGTTCTTCAGTAAAGAAAATGGTGTCTGTATAGAACCATGAACACTGAAAGAACCCTTTGCTTGATTAAAGGATTCTTTGCATCATGAAATGGTTCTTCAGACTGATGCAGGATGTGTTGTATATGTTTATATAAGGCATCTTCTATATAGGGTTCTATATAGCACCAAAAAGGGTTCTGCTTTTGTTACAAGCTTAACATTTTAACAGTAGAAGAACCCCTTTTGGTGCTATATAGAACCCTTTTCAAAAAGGTTCTAAATGGCAGCATCTTCAGCACATTCTCCATCTGTCCGAAGCACCTTTCACGATGCAAAGAGCCCTTTAATCATGCGAAGTGTTCTTTGAGTGTTCATGGTTCCATTTAGAACCATTTTCTTTACTATAGAACCCTTTAAGAACCATCTTTAAGTGTGTAGATATTCAGCTAGCTGTTCCTCGCTCACTGGGAAACAGCAAGAGCCACCGTTCGATGCCTTGACAACAAGTAGTAGATGGATTTTTTTCTATTTTTAAATTATTTTGCTCAGTTTTTGTGGCCTATTTTAACAGCGTTGGACACGCGCCTCATTTTCAGGCTGTTATGTCTTAACGGTCAGTGTTCACTTTAAGTAATCTCAAATTGACCTGCTTACTTAGCAGCTTGACCTGACTTGAGGTCAGTTTGTCCAAAGTGTGCTGTTTGGGCCAAGTTTGGTCATTTGATTTGGCCCACCGTAACCCCACCTCCTCACGCATTGAGAGAACAAATGTAATTTTATACTGAACACTGTTCTTTATTGTATTCCAAATGTTTTAATTATTTTATTAAAAGGCCCATATCTTAAAAAAAATCCCTCACTTTGTTTTAAAATAAGAGTTTGATGTGGCTATAAACACTGTTAAAGCTTCAAAACACAGTTCATGCTCCAGTTAATACAGCCCATGTATGAACACTAAGCTGCCAAAACAGCCCATTGAGTGCCTTTACATGCACTTAATAATCAGATAAAACAGCAGAAAATCAGATTTTGTCAGTAATCCGATCAAGTTTACATGCACTTGAGTAATCAGATAATGGGGAAACGGGTCTACATGAGTCAGACGGCAATCGGATTTCTGCTTTGCAACCAGCCAATAAACTCACAGAAGAAGACGTGACGTAAACGCCTTTTTTTTTTAAACATCGACCCACTTTACCTGAAAATATGAACATACATCATCTAGAAGATGAAGAATATTGAAATCCTTCATTTTGTCAAGCGTATATTTGGTTTCAGCTTCGCTCCAAAAGTGTTCTGCTGCGTCTCGCAGCGACACTGCTCAGTTATTTGCGGTACCACAGTCTGTTTTTGCACATGCTCAGACTGAGATATCTGAAAGAAATCAGAGTAAGAGTCACATGCACTGAGAAATCTGATTACTGAGCTAAAATCCAGCTCCCTTTATCAGATTTCTTAATCTGATTTCTAGACCTTTACTCCAGTCTAACAACCATTGACCATTTGAATAATCAGATAACTGCAGAAATCTGATTATGATCGGATTATTGACTGCATGTAAACACACTGTGTGTTTGTGATTTTATGGAAAACAACCTATTTACATACACCTGGCTGCTCAGTCTAAAGCAGTTTAGCTCCGCCCACTCACACTGAAGTTATAAGGAGTGTTTCAGCCTTGACTGCTTTTTGAATGAGCCACAGCCAATCAGAACGGAGCTAAAAAGGCACAGTAACAAAAACAGCCTGTTTAATTGTAAGCGAGGTCTGAAAATGGTCAGTAAAAATGAATTATTACTGTTTTTTGGCACATAAAACCACATGAACATCATACATGGACCTTAAGGAAAAGGATTAAATACAATAAAAATGTGGGATATGGGCCCTTTAACTATATAGTCTTCTTTATTGGTATACTGTTTGTCTTTTTGACTCTTGACCCACCACAGTAAACGCACTTTGGCCAGCAAGATAAAGTTTTGGCACCCCTGTTTTAATTACTTGTTAGCTTCATTAGATTCAGTGTAAAAGCAGTGAAGCAGATTTCAGACACCAAGCGAATCGTACATCGGTCATGCGTGGGGTCAGTAGGTTAGGATACATCCAGAGTCCAGAGTGTGAGAACATCCACAGGTCGGAGCTTCTTCTTTTGTGTGAACGAAGTGGCTGTTGGCTGTTTGTTTAGCAAACGCAGCGCCTGTGAGACAGGATGTGCATGTGTATACAGGGCGTGGTATGTGCTGTGTTGTCTGTGCTTCAGTGCGCATTGAGTGAATGTACAGTACTGTGCAGAAGTTGTCCTGCATTTATTTCATTTCCAGTCAAAACAGCCATTAAGTATTATTTTTCAGGAGAAGTTTCTGAGATCAGATATAAGATGACCCCCAGCATAAGGAAGGGGAATGTCCGGAGAAAATAAGTGACAAAAAGCGGGAATTTTCCAAAATTGGAGTTCAAATTAACAGCTACAGAGAAAACGTGGCTCCTAACAACCACCTGGAAGACCTGGTCAACACCAAAACTGCCCCCGTCAGATAAACAGCACTTAAAGCTTTCATCTCTGAGAGAGAGGAGAAAATCAAGCTGCTTTA